CCAAGTTTGGGTTTTTGAGCTGCATCTTGAAAAGGTTGTCCTTAGGTATGGTATGAAAGGAAGGAGGAAAATTCCCAGCCTGGGTAAGGGAGGATGCCTATGAGAAAATTGTCAGAAGATGATGTAAACTATAAGAGCATTGTTCTAATTAAGTACTGTGCAGCTAGTTCCAAGGTGTTCTGCCTTACACATGTAATAATTTGTCAATTGCCTTGCCCTCACTGTATTCTTAATAAATATTGCTGGTTTGCTTTTCTTCAATCTGTTTGGCCTGTTTCGTGCAGGATCAGACAGATGCTACCTAGATACTAAGGTTAAATGTATTTCTCTAATTACTCTTGAAATAAACTTAAGTAGGTTCTTTTGTCAGATTGTATTCATTGTGTATCTGTAATCTGTTCCCCAATATCATTCTCTCAAACTATTTTAGATTCTGCTGCTCTGCTGTGTGACTATCCAGCTAGAGATACAAGAGTCTGAACTTTCGACTTGCCTTGTAAGCTAACCCATTAATTTGCAAAGCTACCAAGGATCAGATTGCCTCATTCCTTTACATTTTCAAGCAGTGCTTTGCATCTGAGTGATCTGAAACCAGTGCCTTTCTGCATCTTCTAATTTCCCTTGCAATTTTTCAGTCAAATTAGTCTTCCTCACTTAATGATGTCTGAAAGTTTGTGTATTCCTTTTTTCTCCCAAGTTTGTATTGCTTCTGTTTATCCAGATCACTGAACTTTGGGTGGAACAGAAATAGGTACTAGCAGGCATATTATAGGAGGAGCAAGTATTTTGTTCCAAGACGCCCATGTGAAGTTCATCCACATTTTCAATGAACTTTTTAAAAAGGGATTTATCATTTCCAATGCCTCCTTCTTTAGAGGTGAAAAAAGAGATCTAATGTTATGGTTATCAGGGGAAAACTCTGTGGCTATCACAGCCCAGTCTAGTCTGGCATAACTTGTTAAATTTTGAAAGAATCATAAAAATTTTAAATTGAGAAAATCAAAGCCTCTACTTTATGTTTGCTTGCATAGTATATTTTTTCTTAGGCATCATTTTTAGCCTTATATTAAAAATTTCCATAACTTTCTGCTCCATTCTGAAGAACAGAGTGTAGGAGTGATTTCAATTGGCAAACTCTGAAAGAAAAAGAAATATCTAGGGGGAGACATCATTTTGACAGCAGCCATTCTACCAAGCCAGGAAAGATCCAGCTGTTTCCATGATTAAATATCAGTCTTATGATTTTTATATATGGAATCAAAATTTCTTTTACACAGTTGTTTTATGATTTTTGTGATCATCAAACCTGAATATTTAAAGCTACATTACTTTTTTGAAGTTCTATTTGCTCCTCTTTTGGCCTATTCAAATATATCAACTGTCACTTTAGGTAATTTATTTATTACCCAATTTAATTTATTTTTAATCCTGTCATTGCCTTAAATTCAGTTAGTTTTAATCTAAACTCTGGAATTGCATTCTTCATATCTGAAAGCACAGCAACAAGTCATTTGTACATAAGTTTATGGTGTGATCTTCTATCCTCGTTTGGATTTCGTCAATATTCTTATCAACAGTGATTCTGCCAGTGTTTCTACCACTGCAAGAAATACAGCAGGAGATAGCAAGCACCCTTCCTTTCTGCCTCTGGATAATTTGCATTGGTTCCACAGTTAGTTGGATTTACAGTTAGTTCTAGAAGTATTTGAATAAGCACTGACACTACAATTGAAACATCTGTTTAATACTTTCTGGAGAAAGATTCTATACAAGGTTCCTTGGGACAATCCCTAAATTAGTAGTTAGTAGTTATCCCTAAATTGTGGAAATCTTAAGCTTCAGGGTTAAATGTCAATGTACAGTTAGGGTTAGGAAAATATCCGGATCTGTGAATGCCAACAGGAACCCCAACTGTGCTACTTTGGTTAGCATTTCTTAAATGCATGGGGAATATATGGGGTCGCTTTAGTGAGGGTGAAACTTACAGGTAGGGTTAGGGTTGGGAGAATAAAAGGCCCTGTCCATGTTGGAGGGCTTGAAATAGCTTGGATGAGGCAGCAAAAGCTAGTTGGGCACAAGAATCCCCAAGTGCGAAACTGGAGTGTTCTACCTTTGCTGGTGGTTGCTACTGTGTGAGGACCTTATGTGCCTGTTACAGTTAGGGGTAAAGTTCAGAGTATAGTTGGGCAAATATCAATCCTTGTGAATATCTAAGGGCCTGGAACTTGCTCAGATGAGGCAGAAATAACAATGTGCCACAGAAACCCCAAGAATGTGGCCTTTTGCTGGCATTTTCCTAATGCATGGAGAGCATATGCAGCTGCTACCATTAGGGTTAGGGTTCAGGTTAGGACAATATACATCCCTGTGCTAGGTAGCCCAGAGGAAGGACAGGTGAGGTCTCAAAAGAAACTGGATGTCTGCTGCCTTCCTTTGCAGATTTCAAATGTATGGGGAGTATATGCAGCTTTGATTGTAAGGGTTGATCTGCAGTGTAGGGTTTTGCTGTGGAAAATATCAGCCCTTGCACATGTGTGCAAGCCTGGAACCAGTTTAGCTGAGGCTGAAATAGCAATGTACGTACCACAGAAACCCCAAGTATGCTGCATTTGCTGTCAGTTTCCTAATGGGGAGCATATACATCTGCAACTTTTAGGGTTAAGGTTAGGATAATATGTGTCCCTGCACATGACTAAGTGCTTCGAAGTAGCTCAGAGGAAGCAGAAAAGGTGAGATAGCAAGTTCCCAACAGAAACTCTCAGGCACTGCAGCACTGCCTGAGCTTTACAAATTCATGCAGAATACATGGTGCTGTTAAGTGTTAAGCTTCAGGTTAGCTGGCTTTGTAAGCTCACATCTTCTATTGCAGTATTTGACACAGCAAAATATTGGCAGCAGTCATGGCCAAATTATTTTTTAACAACTTTAAGTCAAAACAGACCAGAAAGGATTTATGTCTGGAAGGCCTTTAACTGATTCTATGCATAGAGTACTAAATATAATACACCCTCAGTATGACCAAAAGAATTCCAGTTGCCTTCCTTTCTTTAGACAGCTTCCAAGTGTTTTATTTGACTTGAACAGTCTTTTCAATCAAGACACTGAAAAAAGTAGAGCTTAGCCTCAAATTTATGATTGTTGTTAGGCAACTATCCTCACAATGCACAGCTAAGGTAGGAGCAAATGCCAGACTCCATCCCTTCCAAAATCAAAATTCTTATAGATGAGTTGTGTACCTGAACATGCTATATTTTTGTTTTCAGACACACACAAGAACATTTACAGTGTGCCAAAATCAAGTGCTAGAGGTTACAGAATGGTGTGGAAATATGAAAATTCTGAATATCAGTATTACCAAGTTTTGGGTTGGAGAACAGTCAAGAAACTAAGCTCTTGATAACACACCTGAGCAGGCCTAGTCTTATTTTGTAAACCACTCAGATGACTTGAAGGGTGGGATAAATTTTTAAACTTTTTTTTTGTTACATTGTTATTATTTATGTATTTATGTGTCCTTTGTGAGCTGCCCTGAGGCTTTGTTGCGATGGGGGTGGCATAGAAATGTTTTAAATAAATAAATATGGGGGGAAATTCTTACATTTTGAACTAGTTACATGTGGAACCAGAAGACTGCCAAACTGAAAATGGACCTCCAGTATTTACATCAGTTCATAAGACAGTGACTAGGTACTATAAATGATCTTTGGAAAAAAAACCCCAGTATGTTTTGGTATGGATTCTATGTACTGTGTAGGTTATATTAGCTTATACACATATGCATGCAACCTTCCCTTTGTTTCCCCACACTCTGCTTATGTACAAGTGATTGGATTTCAAGCAAATTTATCTAGTCAAATACTTTTGTCCATACATCCATAGAATGATTTTAATGTGTGTGCTTTCAGCTGCAAACATGCAGGGAATACTATAATCTACTTTGAAACTCCCGTTTTAGAAAACTGTTTTGGTATGGGCTGTGGGAAGTACATGAGCTTTAAAGTCTTAGGCACACAACTAGTAGCAAGATGTTGTAGATACCAGCCTATGTACAAAACAGGATGGGCTGTGTAGGAAATGGACTGCATGGATATTCAGTAAGCTACTATACATCTTATATTTTCAGATCATAGGAGCATTGACGGACAACAAAATGCCAATGCACAATTCCGCTTTTGCAACAAAATAGAATTCTTCCAACACTCTCTATTCTCTGTAGCATATTATTTTAATTCTATGCATCGACCGCATTCTAATGAGATCAGAATATCTTCATCTACTTGTTTTTTTTCATTATAGATTTTAATTGAACTAGGTTTGGTTTGACTCTTCAATACTGAACATATGTTCACTATCTCTCAACAGTTAGGCAGTCATTAGAAAAACTGGTATATACTTTGTATGATAAAATTCAATATTAAAACTTATTAAAATATTGATTAAATAAAAAGGTCTTAACCTGGCGCCGAAAAACATATAATGACGGCGCCAGGCGGCCCTCTCTGGGGACCGCATTCCATAGGCAGGGTGCCACAAGTACAACCTGAAATCTCAGGGTTTGGAAAATAACTTTGCTAGTTTTCAAATGCTCTTGCTTAATGATTTTGTAGTTACATGACTTGCACATATCCAGCATCTCGAGTGTATTACACCATAGTGCCCTGAGAAATTTCATCTCGGAGTGGGTGAAGATGATGTCACGTCTAAACATCTACAAAACCCAATATAGAACCACCTCATTGGGTTCTCCTCAGCTAAGTTATTCCCAGTAAAAATAAAACATATTATTCTATCAGATCTGTAGAGTTGAATAAATAGCCTCTTCTCCCATCTTTCAAGCAGTAATCAGGCTGCTATCACAAGAAGCAGGAAGAAAAACATACGAGATAAATTTAACAAAACCAGTAGAATTAGAAGCCAAACAGAAATGCAATTAAATAGCAAACAATTTCTACAGCAACAGATTTTACAAGAAAAATGGAAATCCTATACATAGCCACAGCTCCTTTCATTCCTAGTAATGTTTTAATATATGGAACCAAATATAGAATTTAACATAAAGGGTGGGTAGGTGGGAGTAATTTTAAAATTAATTTTGCTCTTTTTCAAGTTGAACTAGACCTCTGTTAACATCTCCCCCATCCCCCATCATGGCTTCTAAACAGGATCTGGCTATCTTAAAAAGAAACATAGATGAACATATTTCAGTTAAAATAAGAGACAGGTATCTATTGTAACTTGCTTTCCTGAGGCAGTTAGGTTTTGTTTGGTTTTTTTTTTTAATACATATGCGTTTTATCAAAATAGTTGCAAGATAATTCATTTTTAACAGCTGTAAAGTCACAAAAGTGCATAAAAGCCTGAAGGCAGTCCAAGAGTACTTCAACAGAACAGTCTTTCATAAAGATGGTAGAAGAGCATAAGCGTTCAACTGCAGTAGTGCTGATCTTGTGAGAAGAGATCTTCCTAAGTAGTTTCTGGTAAATACAGCAATAATTCAAAAGTAGCAAAATGCTTCTTGAAAGTAATAAAACACATAAAAAGAAGGAACAGTAGACACAACAATACCTAAAATAGAGCAGGCATGACTAGCATATCCAGTGAGCACTGGAGAGCCCCACCCCAGCTAATTTTGAAGGGGTGATTTTGACTTGCAATGCAACTCTCTAGCAGGATTACTGAAAGAATCAGATACATAAAAATCTTTATACTGTAGCCTTGTTTGTAGTAACCAGCCCCTTCTACAGTACAGATACAAGCCATGTAAGCCTGCTGTATACTCTTACTTTTTGGTAAAAAGCAATGCAATGCATTTTGGAATTGAAAACAGAAGCTCGGAGACAAATATTTGTGTAGATGCAAGCATTAGGTGTAGCAAGGAAACAGTTGAAATACATACTTTAAAACACTTTCTCAATAGAACATTTGATCAGTCATCCAGCAAAGAGAAAAAAAGGTTCAACCAAAATACTGATCTATACATTGAAGCACCAATATCACGGTACTATTTTTATGGGCAAGTTCTACTATACTGCTTTCTAAAAAAACACCATCATTAAATTAAAGTTCTGATGCTTCAATATCCAGTGAGGATTAAAATCTGAATTAAAGTTGAATGAAATTTCCTCTTTCCCTCCAATTTTGGCTTAACCACCTGTGTTATGCTTTTAGTTTAGGATTTTATGTTGTTGTCTGAGCTGTTTCAGGTGTCCCAGATTTCTTAAAACAAAAATAAAACAGCAAATTAAGAACCTGAGGCTCCTAGTACATGACAACAAAAATATATCAGCCTCCACGAAATAAGCATGAAGGCTTTGCACTTCCCCACTCCCTAATTATTCAAGTTTATTCCAGACTTCACTGTTAATATAACACAAAATAATATTTTGGACAAACTGCTGCTTTAAAACTTTTCAGCTGCTCTCAGAAGCTGAAGACAGAATTGACTCTTGTTCTAGATCATCAGTAATAATTCTTAAACTAAAAAGACAAAAGATACATTCAAGGTGTTAAGGAAGAAATAGCAGAATAAGCAGAACGGAAAGAGGAGTGATTGCTTGACTCAAGGGTTTCTGGTTCATGATGTCCAACTCTGAAAACAATCTAACATTTCTGACACACACCTTTTAGCCAAATGTAAGTTGGACCCAAATTAGCAGAAGGAAAAGCCAATAATATTTGATTTCTAATAATCTGTTGCTGAAGGTAACTTTTCTAGCTCTTAAAACTGCCTTTTATGATGCAGCAGATCAACATTGTATCTGAGATGGTAGGAAGGTAAATGTGTCTTGCAATGTTAACTGCATTCTAGCTGTCTCCACTCCAGATACATAATGCTCTTTTTATTGTATTACCAAGAGCAAATGGATCCAGGTTCTACTTGCATTCTAGCAACACCACAGATGCAGAAAGCTGGATAATTGCAAAATTGGCTTCAGGTAATTATCTCAGACAGAAACAACTGGAAAACCATTTTTCGGGATTTTGAGCAAGTGAGGTTAGCTCCCAGACAAAATACAAAAGACCTTTAATCGTAAATCATTCCCAGTATTCTGCCTTGTCTAGTACACAGCCATAGCTTCCTATTCTTGTCTATTATGGATTTGTCCATCTGTTGGAACCAGGATCTCTGTTGCAGTCAGCAGTACTGCTCTATTTTTATTGCTGTTCTTTCAGCTGAGACCTGAAAGATTCTCAGGTTCTATAATAGCTTTTTTATTATGTAGACAATTATGGCATTTACAGCGCAATCATATGCATGCCTACTCAAAAGAAAGGCCTACTGAATTTAATGGGGCTTATTCCAAGGTAAGTAAATGGGTTTAGAATTGTATCCTCAGTGAGGTTATCTGATTATTCAAGACCTTCAAGAAAGTGGCATGAAATCATGTTTTGCTTCATAAAGTGATTTTGCATATTTGCAAAATTCTGCATATTGGGAGAATTCAAAAAGAACAGGATTTAGAAGACAAATCTTAAAATAAGTACTTTAGCAACTCTCCAGTTACAGAGATGACCACACAAATTAACTGGCCAACTTGACAAAATGCAGACTTTCCCCATTCAGGAAGCAAGAAGGAAAATGCTGAGTTGTCAATAATTTCCAGATGGTTTACTTTACTTTTACTGTGAGGTTTTTTTTTTTTTTTTACACATGATCAATTTCTGACATAATGCAAATTATCCCAAAATAAATACTATCTTTGCTTTTTCCCTATCGGTGAACCTGAAGTACAATTATAGCCAACATTAGTATCATGAGACTAATGGTCCAATGTAGATTATTAATGAACAATATTTAGACCTGCTAAATACTTTGCTGTATAGTTATGTGGTATTCTCAGGGATCTCATTCAGTTCCCACTGTAATCAATTAGCTGGCAAATAGTAGATGTCATAATTGGCTTTTTGAATTTAAGTTAGACAAGCATTATCTCTGGTGTGGTATATGTAGGAAGATTAATCTTTTCTTAACTAAAATTCAGGAAGGGCAAAAATGCTATTATTTTAATTTTGGATCTTTAAAAACTCTATGGTATATTAACCAAAATATTTTAAGAATTTCAGTTCATTAGTTGATAGGAGGTATGTCTTTAACAATTTTCAACTGAATTTCAAATGAAGTTTCAAATTGTTTGCTTTGAAATAAGCTATTAAATATTCATCTATACTTTAGTGTTTTTCTCAGGGTGCAGTTCTTTGCCCCTTGATGCTGTCTACAGTCTCAGCTCCAGCCTTAGAGAAGCACTTGGAAGTCAGAACTGAGAGCCTGAATTCAAAGTGCCTTCCCTCTGCCCTTGCTGATAATGAAATTCTTTCCACACTGGCAGAAGCCTGGGGATTGCAAGGCTGACCCCCTAAACTAACATTTGGAGGGGAATACTAGGGGGCAGGGAGTAACAAGACACTACAGCCCCATGAAGAATCCTGGTAGTGCCTCTGGTTCCTCTCATAAACCAATGTAAAATTCTTAGATGGTTGAAAATGACCACTGAAGTGTTTTGGGAGGTGACAGGAATGCCAAAGTAATTGTCACCTCTATATTCCATCAATCCTCCATTGGATGCCCATAATCCTCCAAGTATTCTGCATGAACCAGAGAGAAGCTCCAATTAAAATTCCTGATCTTCTTCTGCAAAAACAGATTCTTTTCAATCCTGAAGATTGAAGTCCTTTTTGATTAAGAACATATCAATTGACTCCCATGATGAAATCAAAGTTAATTTTCTTGTGCTTGTGTATGCCTTGAAATATTTAGCCATTAGTGGAGTGGAATCACAACAGTTTAAAAAGTTATCCCCAAAATTAATGCCTGTTTTGAAAAGCCTAAACTGTAATTCTGAGCAAGAATTGTGGACTTATCATTAGAACAGACACTCCATGGAAGTTATTTACTGTATCAAAGAACCACATTTGATAAGCATACTAGAATTAATACAAGTGTGGCTTGTACAAAAGATCAATTTTTTAAACAAGTGTTTGTCTTCAGTGTAATTTTCACTGTGTGCCGAATACTGCTGTTACATCAATGTACCGACTTCTCAAAAATATCACATGGCTTAAAGTAACAGCCAACTAAATGCATTGTATTTTTATTGATTTTCATGGGCTTTGTTTGTGCCCCCACTAACAGAAGTACAAGTATCCGAATTATTATTTTTAAGACATGGACATAGTCGAGCAATAAAAAGCTTTAAAGAGCAGTGTGGTGAAGGTGCATATGCACCAAAATATGTTTCCAGAGCTACTGCAATATCTCAGAAATTGTTTCAATGTCTACAATCAGAAAAGGGGAGATACATAATGTGACATCTGGAAACATGCTGGATGGGGGAAAGAGATAGAATGTTGTTCATAGTTTTAAAAAATACAAAAACAGGAAAGATAGCCTTCTTAGACATTACTAACAGTTACAAAAGGTTAGGTAAAAATGTACTGGACAGTTTCCCTTTAATATAATATACATTTAGAATGAGGAAGTTTAAGATTACAAATAATCCTTGACAACTCTTAATTTTAGAAGCAATCCACCAAGTAATGTTGCAGACAAGTTCCATTTATTTTGCACTGACCTGCATAGAAACCAGAACATAACCACCTGAAACAAATGGAGCTTGTACAGCAGCAGTGTTTGGCAGAATCTTCTCCAAGCCAGCCAGAAAGGTAGGTTCCTTGACCAAGATTCACTATTGCTTGCAGATGTTTTCCACTTTATAAAAGGAATCTTGCCAACTTGCTCATTTTCAATGCTTGTGGAGATAATAATTGGAGGTTTTGATTTCTGAATTCATGGTTTGCCAAGAAGGAATTAAAGAAGTTATGTTTTGGACCCTTATAACACTCCACAACGCTTCATTTTTCAAACATATATAATTCTAGGTAGAGTGATTTAATTTTGAAATGAAAAGCTCAATGATGGCATAGAATTGCAAACATTAGGCTATGAAGAGGTGAGTGTTTTTACACATCTCCATACAAACTGTAAAAACAACTACTTGGAAATATCCAGTAGCAAACATCTTGCAGAGTATGAAATATAAGGCCTTGGAGACAAGTATCCCCTTCCTTCATCAAAAATTACTCATTTTAAGTCAGCAGCATATGCATCTGTGTTGGTTTAGTTTGGCTTGTAACTATTAGTAAATTCCCTGCTTCTATATTCTTGAGTTCCTGACACTTTGTTCCCATGGCAGCCTCCTATTTGGTGGGTGTCAGATGAAAACCATAAAGGTAATTTTAAATCTTTAAAGTGCCAACACACTGAACAAATGGGACCAGAGCAGCAGAAGACAGCACCGTAGATCTGATGGTGATGGCAGGACATCAGATCACAGTTTGGTATTCTGAATCTTGAAATCAAACATACATGGCTCCTGGCTAGAAGAGGCTGAAATTCAGGTAGACTAGCCATTGAATCTAATGCCCCAATATTAAAAAACAGGTTGTAGAAATCAATAATTTACACCTTTTGAAACATTATTGCTTCAGCAAACAGTTCAGTCTAGAAATACACTGTAGTTGTGCATGAGCTGGGTGTGAATCAAGAGATACTGAAAGTAAAATTACACATCAACTCCTCTTTACACTCACACTGACATAATATTCTCAACACAAGAAGGCTGCAAACAGATACACAGCAGCTTAATGCCAATGTTCTAAACCACTTCTGAAGACCCAAAGCTTGCCTTAGATTTTTCTCCTAACTTATATCAGCTTTCTCTTTAAATTTGCTTTAAATTAAGGCAATGAAATGGCTACAGTTCCTAAAGTTCATTTGAGGGGAAACAAAAATATACACCTTTCTTCTTTCTGAACTTTAGGGAAGCAGCGTATAATGTAGAAACTTGTATTACACAAACATGCAACACCAGGTTGATGTAAAAAAACAAAACAAAACAAAATACTAAGTTAAAAATATTATTTGGTGGTCGTCTTCTTTTTCTTCTTCATGGATTACACACACAGTTTTCAGAGAGGAAAAATAAAGCTTAGAATTGTTTTACAGTTCTGTATGTGTCTATATCACACACTAAAAGGGTTTATAGCAACAACAACAAAAAAATTTTAGGAGCTTGAATTGTCATTATTTGAGGCCATTTGGGAAAAGGCACTGGTTCTTGTTTTTATTGTGCCCATATCTATATGCACTTGTGGAATTCTTTTTAAAATTTCAGTTTTTCCGTTTATTCTGTACAACATAAAAAGGTATGACAGACTGTGGCTAACACATATTAGCAGAAGCTGATTTTAGAGTTGACATCTCCTATTCCACTGCACTATATCAAAACTTCCAGGCTCTCTAAAAACTTAGATGGCTGAGAAAAACCCAGAAACAGGCATTAAGATTAAGTCAGCTTTCAGCGTTTTTCAGTGCATTTTGCAGAAAGGGTCTAAGTTAGGCATATAGTTCTGGAGTTTATTTTACACAGAGGAGACCACCGACATTCGACATAAAGTCTTCTAAACTTTTGAGGAAGGCCATCTTCTGCTTACGGTCCAGCGTAGGCGGAGTGCTACTTGCAGTAAGCTTGTTGAAGGCATCTGCTAACCGCTGGTAAATTATTGGATCTTGTTGACTTGATAATAATGTTTCAACTAATTCAGAATATTCAGCCTGTGAAAAGAGAGCCATCATTACACAACAGAACAAAATTATATTAATAAAAAACTGCATATTTATGATACAAAGCAGTAGTGTTGGCCATACAAAAACTCCAAAATCTGTATAGTATAATATCTTTATGAGATCAACCCAAGGACCACAAGAAACGTACAACATTGAGAACTCTGGACTTCTGCAATCAGCAAAAATATCTTCCCCAGTGAAGAGGTCTGGAGATGTCAAAAGTGTGCACACTTTTTCTGATTTTTTTGTGTGCGCCTAATAAAGATATTACATTTTTATACATTATCTCAGCAATTCTTCTAGGAACTACTCAAGGTAATATTAATACTGCAGATCTGAGATGGAAGGGGTTCTCTAAGGGTGAGAAAGGGGGGCAAGATTCCAACATCCTGTAATTTCTGAGAAGAGGTAGCTGACATCTGGAAAGGGAAGTTCTTATTCTGGTCTTAGAAAAGGAGCAGTCCTTGCATTCTGAAAATTCAGGACAAGCAAATCCCAGGAAGAACTATTTATCTGAACTCTTGCAAGCATCTTCTTTGTAAGTCTACTTTCTTCAGATTTTCTTTTTCTTTTGCATCTCTGTGTATACACTTATCATATATTTTGCTGTATTGCTTTTAGATGCTTTCAACCTTCTTCATTTTAACAACATTTGAATGTAGGATTCCAATTTTCCTGATGATGTTGTTCTAAAGCCAGGGCTTTTTTTGTCATAGAATGCACCGGAATGGCGTTCTGGCACCTTTTTTCGATGGATTTTTCCACATGAATTTGAATCGCCCTGTCGGGTATAGCAGGTCAGTGGCAAAATCATTAAAATGCTGCATGCAGGCTGCTTGTGTGTCCACGCTGGGTGTGAAGGCGCTGCTCAGCTTGTGACGCTGCTCGGCTTGTGATTGGTTGTGTGGTCGCGTGCTGAGTGCTTACTGTGGGCGGTGACCATTATGTTTCATTACACAGTGTTGATGTGTGTAGAGTGACTGGCTACGTGCAAACGGTAAATAATTTCTTTATTTTAAAAAAAGTTGGTGAACTGAAAATCTTTTTTTAATTTTTAGTGTAAAAGTGTGACCCCACATTTAAAAATGAAAAACATTACTAATTCTCAACCGGTCCTGCTAATAAAAAGGCCAGAATATTAAGAACTGAATATATAATTGTTTAAATAAAAGATTAACAAGATGTGAGTTCTGGCACTTTTTTTTTTAAACAAAAAAAGCACTGTCTAAAGCAATAAACAATTATTTCTCTTTTGGGCTTCCTCAACTTTTGAGCAGTCAGGTTTTCCTCTGCAACTAGAATTCAGTATCAAATGAACTGTCATATCCTTCCGTGTGTGTCATGTGCATGCATTATTATAATCAGGCCCATATCATAATACTTGCTTCCAGCCACTAGTGAGTTCAAAGTTGAGGGTAAGATGCATTTGTATGAGGGACTTTCAGTTATCCCAGTACAGCCCCTCTGCCCCCTCCTGAGATGCCAGGGACTTAGGCCAGAGTGACATTCTATGAGACACAAGGGACGGCTGCCAGAGTGGAAAATTGGCAGCCACTTTTCATGCCTTCCCTGCAGAGGCCTCTTAGGGTTCTACCATTAGAATTCCTGTGCACAGAAACAATTACTGAGCAGTTCCAATGAAAACAGAGTAACACCTGTAGACCTACTTCCACACATAATCTTTAACTCTGACATTTTGCAATCAATTACATTTGCAAGTTCTTTAAAAGTGTTAATAAGAATTAACTTAAAGTGTCGTACCTGGTGCAAACATACTAATGTGTAAAATGCTTCACCTGCTGCAGCTGTCATCTCTGTATTGTGCTTTTGCAGTACCAGCATATCAAAAACCATCTGAAATTGCAAAAAAACAACGATCGCATATAACTCTGGAAGACCTTTTATGGGGGGGGGGGGATCATATGCTCCAAGCTAATAGAAAAGTCTTGTACTGTAGAAGCCCACTATGCAAAACTGCCATTAAGATGAACTTTAATATCATACATAGCTCTGAATGGAAAGAGCAGAATCTGGGAACTGGATGCAGATTAGGTACTTATTTGTTACTCCTATCAATATTACTCCTATACAACATTGGAACCATAGATAGATATGATCAATTTCTTGCTCAGCCATTGCAATGTCAGTAATAAATATTAGAAGATAATGTGCATGCACAGAGTACATATCAAGCATTCCTACTAGAGAACACAGACTTTCAATAATCTTTAAGACAACCTTCAGGGCCAGGATGATCATTATAAGATGGTATTATAAGATGGTCTGATCAGTGTGTGCCTGGGGTGAGATGTGATTATGAAATCTGATCTTGAGGATTTCCTGGCTAACAGCTCACTCTCTTCGCTACAGCACTAAGCCTCTTGTCCGTCAAGGATTGTATTCCTTCATTCAACACCACCACTGATTCCTTCTCTTGAGCCCAGCAACCAATCCCACTAATTTTATAGAAAACGTTTGAAGAGAAACCCTGCCTTTATTAAAGCTGTTACCAGACATGGTGTTCATCTAACCTATTGGCCTGGAACTGAACTGGGCTGGAAACCTTCTGACGACAGCAAACCTTTTCCAGTCATGGAAGGGCTGTTTATAACTAAGTGGAAGTGCTGCATGAGAAAACCCATTATTGCCTCTTGTGTAAGATTTTGCACAAACTCATTCTCAAGACCTACACAATCAGCATTTTTAAAATTCAGTATACTGCAAGGCATACAGCCTTCTATGGCCTTTGATGCCCCAGGTGCCAAATTTGCATCTTGTTTAAAGTGAAATTGTGTGGCAGCCAAAGCGGGTTCTGGGCTGCCACACGGTGAGCTCCCCTGCAGTGTGGCAGTCCCAGTGGATTCCAGGAGGGGGAGGCCCCTAGAACCCTGGAGGTTCCTTGAAACAATGTGAATCTGCGCTACAAGAAGTTTTCTGCTAAGGCAATTGTTCAGGAAACTGCATTAATGCACTTTCTCCTTCAACTAACTGTTCTTTGGCAAGTCATTTTTTCAACTGTTTTTCATTCAAAGCTGGGACATGAGCTTAGGGTTCCGCATTATTTTCTAATATTTATAAAATGCCCTAAAATAGTTTAGGATCTGCAGAGAAATAAAGATGAATAGGGCCATGCCTACAAGTTCACAAGCAAGCGATATTTTTGTCAGAGGTATAAAAGTAACTATGCCACAGTTGCAATAAATATGAAGGTGCAACTGGTAAAGACAACAAAATATGGAAGATTCTTTCTTACCTTAAGAAAGTGCCTTGTTGCTAAAAAGAGAGATGAGTCTGTCTCTTGTGCTTTTGCACACTGCTCTGCTAATGGTGTCAGAGCTTCTAAGCAGAGCTGGCAAACATCTGAACTCATTCTGATTAATCAAAGTCAAGGAATCCTTTTTTTGCCATTGGAAATATTACACTGCCATCAAGAAAATTTTAACAGACCTTATGAATTGCCTTACTCTTATATATTATTCTATGACAATGGAGCAGAACTATGTTGGAGTGAGGGGCCAAACTGCCTATCCAATAATGGCCCTGACAGTGGCCTTACCCACCACTGTAGTTGTTAGTCACAAAGTCATGCCCGACCCATCACAACCTCATAGAAAACATTCCTCCAGGCTCTCCTGTCCTCCATCATCCCTCGGAGTCCACCCAAGCTCACACCCACTGCCCCAGTGACTCCATGTAGCCACCTCATCCTCTGCCATCCCCTTCTCCTTTTGCCATCAATTGTTCCCAGCATCAGGGTCTTCTCCAGTGAATTGTTCCTTCTCATTAGGTGGCCAAAGTATTTGAGTTTCACCCACCACTGCTGCCATTCCACAAATGCCAGAAACTGTTTTAGCTTTCTCTGGGTTGGGACATGCACAAAATCACTTAGCAAATACATACTGCAGAAAGCCATTAGGCTGGCACTGGGATGAATGGGTGCTAAGTGCTTAGTGCTAGCCAAATCCTCTGCCTGAACAGTGTTATTTCTGACTTCAGGCTGAAACAAAGTCTGGGAATTCCTCCAGCAGTGCTCCAAAGAGGTTCAGAGGGCCAGATACAGAACCTCCACATACTGAATTAGGCCCACAGGATAGGGGTTCTGGTTCCCTGTTCTAAGGCTTTTGAAATGTGCTTTTTCCTAAATGTATTTTATGAAATTTATCTCCATTTTCAAGTCAGTGACCATTAAAAGCAGAATTTAGAGCCCAAATACAAAATCAACTGCTGACAGTGACCACAGCAGACTGCGACCAGTTAGGGCAAAGTGGGGGAGAAAGTATTACATGCTTGTATACTGTTCCATGAAAAAATCATTGTACATAGAAAAGGGCATGTTAAGCAAAGATTATGTGAACTGGAACATAATCTTCCATCAGATAGATCAGTGAATATTTTACTGATATTTTACATGAGATAGACCAATGCAATACACATACACATCTTAAGTAGCAAGTCCAGTAGCAAGTAGGGATGTGTCAAAGGTCTGCAGAATCCATCCCTCTAGCATTTGCAGGGTTCCTTTTGTGCTTGGCCCTGTCTTGGAAAGCATGCTGAGGTGAGACAAAGTCCATGAATGCTTGTGGAATGAAGGTCTTCTGGAAGCCTTCTCCTGAGTCATGCACAGCAGTGCATATGAAGGCTGCTGCACCCAAGGCAGAAGAGGAATGCTGTTTTCTTGGGAACTGATTTCTGGTGAGCACTGTGCAAAGCTGGGCATGTTCTCCAGGAACTCAAGATTCCCCACCATATCAAAGCAAATCGGGCTCTAGAAAGCTGAGCTGAGGGAGTCCATTGAATTCCCACCCCCAAAACAGATTCCTCACACATGCCTAGCAGCAGGCTTATATACTAGGCCAATATTTTTATTGATGAAGGGATCAAAAAGCTGCAGTAGATGAATGGCCACATCTGCTGCAAGCTGCCTGTAGGTAAGCTTGTTCAAGCAAAGGATTTGAGGTATCTGTGAAAGAAAGTTTCTCTGAAAGAAGTGATTAGAAACAACAATGGAGGCAAGAATGTAATGGAGCTTTGGACATATAGTAAGGAAAAAGGAGGGAAAAAACAGAGCTAGCTTTTCAGAAAACAGTAATTCTAACTGGTACTATAAAGTTTAAAACAAAAGCATACTTGACTTAAGAGGTCTGTAGCTATTACAAAATAAAAATTTCAAGGGAAAAAGAAGAAAACTCAGGTAGTCCATAGCTAAAAATGAATGCACACAAGTTTGCCAGAAAGGATACGATGTCATCCCTAATTCTAATGAATACATAAGGCTTTTAAATAAATCGTCTGGAAGTTGCGGGATTTTCTCAGGAAATATTTCACAAATAAATGTTATAAGTTTGTAGTATTGATTACATAGTGATGGAAACTGCAGATGGGAAAAAAGTATGTTTTAATTTGGCCTCATAATATGTATATTTGAGCTCAGAAATAAAGACCAAAAGCAACTATCATCATTTTCTATGCATCTCCCTTAATGTTCAACATATCATAGCCCTAAATTCTGAAGGTGAATACCCAAATTAGAAAAATGGGGGGAGAGGTTGTTCACAAAAATGGTCTAATAATCAAAATCACAAAAATGTGGCAGGTACAGGTCAATTTGATCTGAGATGCAAAGAGATTCCTGACAAATTACAAAGAACAAATGCACAAAATGCTGTACCGTGAAGAAAAATTATGTAACTATAATGATTAAGCCTCTGGCTAAGATGCTCTGATATGGGCAGAGTGATCTCTGGTCACCACTGGCTGGTCCCAGGACATAATTAAAGCAGCATTCTCAGCTGGGCACCCTACAGATGCGCATCACTTACAGCAGGTACTCAGTTGAGGAGAACCTGTTAGACTGGGTAAAAGGCAAATTCAGATCAGCTGGTAGAGCTCTGATTTGCAAAAGATTGACAAGGATTTCTGTTGCCAACTTTTTGTAAAGTTACTCTCCACTGTCTTAAACTATACTGTTAAAGTATAAAGAAGAGGGAAGGTAACTGTGAGAGATGTGTGTGTGGAAAGACTGGGATCCCCATTCAGTTCTTGTACTCAAAACAAATTCTGTGGCTAAGAATTCTTCAAATCTAAGGGGATGTGTTTTAAACTGGATTCCAATTGATGGATTTTGTGCTTCTAAAAACTGAAGTATACTCTGAAAGCCTAAAGAATGCCCACCCTAATCTAGAGGTACATGATGTTTTTCCATCAGTTCCATACTTGAGCAAGAGACCAGCCAAGAACCCTTATCTCATCGTTCACTCAAAAGGTGACCCATCGTGGCCTCCTCTTTCTCTTTGGACCCTTCATTGTTTGTGGACCATACTGTGAGAATACAGACTGTGGGACTGAAATTAAGAGACATGCACATCACAGGTTAACTGCTAGGTTGTTTAGTCCCTAAATAATCAGATGGTCTAAAATCTCAGGAAGCCACCAGTCATGGGTTCAAGGTTTTTAAAGCAATGGTTTGTCATGACAAGTGAACCAAGTAAATGCATGCCTGCCTACATTGCCTGATGGTAGAAACTGGGCAAATGGGATATATAAACAGAACAAGCAATTAAAATAAATTGCTCTGTTACTAGATTCTTGGGATGCAGTTTCATTTTTTTAAACCACTGCAAGCTGAAAACAACGAACTGGGTTGGGACTGGTCTGCTATTACAGAATTGTCCCCAGAAGTCATGTGAAGTAGAAGAAAAAGAAACTGAGGAGATCATTGTAAGCTAAAAGTTTCCAGGATTTGGTTGGACCTCCTGCCCAGAAACAGATGTGCCAGGTGCTGGTTGAAAATGTATGCTTGTGTTTAATGACATGACACATCTACGGTTATAAGCTTTAAAAAACTGAGCGGTCACAGAAAATCAGATTATCAGTAAGGGAGCATTAAATTGTACTCACTTTTAGCAAATCCTGGGACATTAAAGGTAGAATTAAATTCACCCCATATAAGACAACATCTGCTGCTGACACAGATCTGTTTGTGGCTTGCCCGGGTTCATGCCCCCTAAATACTTCATCTAAAGGGAAAAAAATACATTTGCCACATCAAGACAAAAATACACCCACCCCTCCAAAATCCCTTTCTGAGCTCCAACCATATAAGGTTTTGTTATTTCCTTAATGATCACAAGTCTAGGTTAAAAATTATTAAACTAAAGCAATTGGAGTTCAGCATATCTTTCCAATAATTTTGATTTTGTTTGCCACAACTTATCTCAACAATGCTTTCTTTTCAGAGGTAACAAGCAGCACCGTGATTGTATTCACATTCCAATTCTGCACATTGTGTGCGCACAACTCAGTGCATTTTTTAAAAAAAACCATATAACGCAAAGATGCCATGTATAAACTGCTGGTGTATCAGATTTGCCTCAGGATTACAAAATGTGCAAAAGGTATCTGAAACCCAGAACCAAAAGGAAAGAGGGTGCCTTTTAAATGAAGAAAAGCTTGACATTCCATTTAGAAGGGATTCATCAGCCTACCAAATCACAGATTAATGTTCTTCGCAATTCACAATGTTTATATCTACACCTGTATCAAAGGATTCAAATTTCTTAACTGTCTAGGAATAAATACTATAGATGAAACAATGTATTAATCCAGTTTGCAATCTAGATTTCATGTAATGAAATCCATCCTCTCCATTCAAAATGCAGGAAGCATAAATTGGAATGGTAGCCTTATTAATGTTTCCCTCAACCTTAGCCTGAAGGAGAAAAGTCTTGTACAGTATTTATTTATCTAATCATGAATTATCTGTTCACATGTTATGCAGCTATAAACTCAGGTTCAACAACATGTGAACATTCAACAGAGGACAGAGCAAATCCCAACTTTCGAATACAAGTGTTCTTAATAGAATTATTTACATATTTATCCCCCTCCCCATTTATATGAATTGCAAGATGCTCTCACACAGTATTAAAACATCAGCTTGTTAAAAATACAAACAAAAATAAAAAAGCAAGATCACAGTTCATTTAAAGCACTATCAAATTAAGATAATTACAAGTTACAAGAGAGAAGCAGGCAAACATCCCTGCTGAGGAAGTTCCGTTGTGAAGAACCATGAGAAAAAAGGGTTATGTTACCTGCCTAACCCTCCTTCTTTTCTGCAGCTTCCACCAGCAGAGCAGCAGTAGCATTTTTTTAAAGGCCATAGGTTTACTGCCAATTTTCAGTGGCAAACCACTACAGAGCTTTAAAATGCTCAAATTTCATTTGTTTTCAAGCATTTTTTTCTGCTACAGAATTCAATGGCAGGAGAATTATGAGCAAGGATCTGGGGGGTTACCAGATCCCTCAAAGTCCCCAGAAAAGATTATCTCAATGGCTACAAAAGTTCGTCTGGAAGGAGGTCTTCTTTTAGGCACTCAGATACTAAGTGATAATGGCTTTTTAGGTATGAATATGTCCTAATACTATTTTCAGTATAGATATCCTCTTACCTGTATCACTGAAATCTATAAATTCTTTTGAAAGTAGGTTAGTAAGAAGCTCCATGATAAGAAGAAGATCCTGATATTGGTCTTCTTCTGCTGTAACATCTATTCGTTGTCTACCTAAATTATTCTTGGAATACACTTGAAGTAGGGTCAGACAAGCTTCATACAAATTCATGGCTTTAGACTACAAAGAAAAGCAAAAAGAAGCTTAATGATTTTTTCAATTACTTTTGTTGTAAGTTACAAAGGTTTTAAAAAGCTTAAGATTTCCTAACAAGTTACACTGCTTTAACATTCTGTAGAAAACTCTCTCCCCCAGCTCCTTTCCAGTTACTATTCAACTTGGAGGCTTTAAAAGCTATACAAAAATATTTCTGTATGTTGATTAACCACCACTTTGCAACTTTTATTTAATAAACACTATTAAATACAGTTAGTAAGGAATTAAAGACTTACCTGCAGATACCAAGGACAGCACCAAATCCTACGCTTGCGCTAGCAGGTTCCACTCAATAGGAAGGGACTTATACTTCCAAAACTGGATAGGTCAGTGGAGCTCTCAGAAGAAAGCACCACTGCCCTGTCCAATTCCAGAAGCGCTAGTTTGAGCTAGTTTCCAGGAATGCCTTGCACTTGTGGTCATTCCTGCTAGCAAACAGTGATTGGTGCTGGTGGATTGACAACACTGGATACTGTACCTTGTGATATTTTGGAATGGCTTACTATGAAAAAATTTCAGAGAACTTTGTCATAGCTGTGGCAAAGCACAACACATCATCTAAAGGTACAGTAAAAACAAATATGTTTAGTATGGCCCACTTTATTGCACGTGTGAACTGTTACCATCAATTGGTAGATGCAGATTTCTTTATCACACATACACAGTGTATGAAGTGAGACCAGAATGCACAGCTCTGCAAGAGACAGGTGAGTAGGGAACAAATGAAAGTAAGATTGTAATAAAAGAAATGTGGTGGTGGTGGTGATGTCAAAACCCATTAAAAAGGCAATTAATGGACAAAGCACAAACACTACAGAAAGCCACCTAAGGAGGGACAATATTTTTCTGGAGCAAGCCAGCAAGTCCCAGTCTTGACAAAGGCTGTCTAATAATACTATGTTTTTCATTTGAATTCCAACTAAGCATGCTGGAATTGCCTTTGAAACATTTTACTTAATTAAAGCAATATTTCATGTTGCTGAGTATCTAGGGTCTTTTTTAAAATTGGAAATAGTTCTCCGATTAATGGGCAGCAGAGCCTGGAAGGGCCAGAAAAACATGCACAAGTGCGTGAAGGAGATTCAGAAGCATTGAAAGTGCACTGAATTGTTTGTGTGTGTGTACAAATTACATCCCGTATCTAGACTCTGAGAGTGTATTTCTGGTGTTACTTACCTCTCCAAGATAGCATATCTGCTTATGTGCAACTTCAACAAAAACTTCTATGATGAGGTTAACAGTCTCTGGTGTATTTTTGTATACCTCCATTAGTCCAATGCAATTGGTGAGGAAGTCCATTAAAAAATTAAAGAGAATTGCTACATTGTCTATCTGGGTAGCCTCAGCAATGCCACAAAGTGCCTCTAAGGTGGCCGTGATTTCTTGTTTCACCTCCTCCTCTTGGCAGATCTGTTGGAAGTTTTCCTGGTTGATCACATTCAAGAATCGCTGCTGAAGTGGCTGAAGAACCTACAGAGCAAGCAGAAAAATACATTACAGCTTTTAGGTTCAGTGATAATAGCAGCAACTGCAGGCATAAGCATTTTAATTCAAATGCTCTGTAACAACATAAAAGTATGCTGGATCAGGGCAGTGGTCCATCTAGTTTAGCATTCTGCTCATACAATGGCACACAGCAACCCACAGGATCCCACAAAGAGAATATGAGTACAAAAGCATCCTCTGTCTCCATTTCTCAGTGTGCATAGGCATCTCTCTTCTGGTACCGGAGACAGCATAACAGCTGCCAAGACTAGTAGCCACTGAAGGCCTTTATCTCCATGGACTAAATCCACCCAGAGTGGCAGTCATAGAGATGAGTTTCATATCCTAACTATGTGCTTCATGAAGACATTCTTCCTTTTATCCATCCTGAATCTTCCATCAAACAACTTCATGGAATAGCACTGGGTTGTAGTGTTATCCTCCACTTTCTCCACACCATAATTCTGTACATCTCTTATCATTCTCCTCCTGTAACTGTTCCTCACAGAGCAGTTGCTCCAAACTTCAATCATTTTATAGTTACCCTTTGCTGTCCTTTCCCCAACTTTACAATTATCTTCTTTTATGTATGGTGAAAAGAACTGCACACAGTATTCTAAGTATTCTAAGGACAGTATGTTCTCTGAGTTTTATTTTCAACTGCTTTCCTAATTATGCCTATCACACACCTTGCCTTTTTCACAGCAGTCATGCACTGGTACGCCCAAGCCACTCTTCACATGCAAAAGGGACTTATAACCCAACATTTCTAATGTGATCATTTCATGATTTCTGAAGCAGAAATTAAGACTTACTTCTGTCCAATACTGCTGTTTGGTATCTGAGTCCATGTGAGCAAAACCCCCGAGAACTAAGGCTTTCATTAATGTTCGCTGCACAGAACTGGACAAAAAGTGAAGTGGTGGATTCCGCCTGGCAAACTGCTTTGCTAAGTTCCACCAGTTTTCACAGTGAATTACCAAATTGGCCCTAAGAACAGAAAGATATTTAAAAACAGAAAATGATAGTTGAACAGTGCATAACAATTACACTAAGAAGCGTTTTGGCTGTGCATGTTAACACATCCTATGCATGTTAACACAGAAAAACTCACCTGGCTGGGAAATGCCAGGAGCTGTAGGACTTCTTTCTGTTTAAACAAGCATTGGATTGCTCCTTTAAAGCCTGAAATGGTCCAGGGCTGACATATCTGAAGAACTGCCTATCTGAATGAATGGAAACCGTGGGGCTCACTCACCTAACCTGAGGAAGTCCCTTCTTGGACATGGTAACCTGGCAGTCTCCTTACCATCCCTTATTCTCTTGGGCACAAATTTACTGTATTTCTTGCTATTTGCTACTTCTGCAGTTTTAAGATTATGATAATTTCATTTATATATAATTTCATTTATTCCATAGGCTAACTATCACCAGGAAGTAGTTCTTTTGTGGCTGGCTCTGAGTTCTATCCATTAGGACATAGATTAATATGCTCCAATTTATACAGATGAATATTTTATGCTATGTCTGTGGCCCCAAGGCAGCCAAATGCTTTGTTAACTGGGCTTGTTTCTGTATGCTTACTTGAATACAATCCAATGACTCCTTTGGGCTGGTTCACACATGCATGTCCATCATCTGGTTTCAGGAGACGGTCACACTTACCACTGGCTGTGTAAACAGACACCACTGAAAGGGGTTATTTTAGCAGCAATGCTGTGTGACATTCAAGTTTTCACTTAAATCTAGAATGGCTCATTCACACATGAAGTAATCACTGGATTTATTGGTCAGTGAATGATCAAATGACTGACATGCACATGGGAACCAGCCTCAAGTTACTTTAGAATCTCCGAGCTTACAGCAGTCCAGGTAACCAGAATTAATCTTGGACTTTGTTCTCACAAATCATGCACTACTAGCCAATTACTCCTAGCAACTCCTGATTAACAAAAGAACTAACATTCTTAGCAGGGTTAAGGGGACTACAAGATGAAGGCTCCAATGAAGACTTCCCTGCTAAAGAAGCAGTAGCTTGAGGAAAGCAACATTTTTGTCAGGATTACAGTGTGGAGGAGTCAGAAGGCTTAAAGTTCTGCTACTGGGCAGCACAGAACAAAAACTCTTCCTTGATATTTCCCTATGGTCTCAGTGCTGCTCAGACTTTGCCATGGTTGCTATTTGTGTATTAAGAGACATGCAAGTTAACTTTAACCATGAAATAAGCCAACGTCACATCTGATCTGGCCCCAGAATCACTGGAGATTTTGGGGTTTTTTTGTTTGTTTTCTGCTTACCTTTCCCTCCTTTCTACTAGTGTTACTAGCAACTGAACGGTGTCATTTGCCAGATCCTGCTCAGAGCTCCACACTGCAAGGTTGCTGATTACTTTTTCTAAGAGGTAGCCCACAATCCACTGGGCACCCTCTGTATCAGCACCAAACGCCGTGTTGAATGGCAAGCTTATCTGCAGAAGAAAAAAAGGCCTTGTACATGTTAAGAGTACATAGATTGCATTCTCCATCTTGGCAGTTTTGAATAAATCAAGAAAAAACTTTTGAGGTTAACCCCCCCCCCCCCATACAGGACAAAACTTTGCTCCTCAATTTGTTTTGTTCACATCTCATGTCTGAGCTTGGCACAGCAAGTTCCAAGCACTCAAATATTTGTTATTTGTTTAATGATTGGTGGGTTTTAATGTTTGTAAAACACCCAGAGAATCCTCTGGGCTATTAGGGTGGTATATAAATGCAAATGATAAAATAAATAAATAAATATCCTATTCTGTTTAAGAGCCACAATCATAGTCCCAATTGCACAATTAGTGCAATTGCACAGAAAGGCATACTAACCCTGGTGGCATTAGAAGCACAGACCGTTAAGTTACATACAGTAGCTCATGGTCCACTGTGATGTTCCTAGCTGTAACTGGCCACTCATTGAGAGACACAGCGGCCTGGCCTACAAATGCAATGTAATGTGCTGGTAGGGCAGGCTACCATTTCAGGTGACAAGTGGAATACACCATTTTTGAAAGCTTTCCCCATTTTCTGAATGAAAAAGCTGGCCTATCTGAGAAAGAGATTGTATGACACTTCCACTAAGCTCATCACCTATTTGCAGGGAGTGATTTTTTAAAAAAGAAAAAGAAAAGAGCTCTCCGAAGTTAGCTTCAGGCTGAGCATCTGGAAGACATTCCTGGCTGTTAGAGCAGTACAACAGTGGAACCCATAACCTAGGAAGGTTGTGGGCTCTCCCACACTGGAGCCATTCAGGATGCAACTGGACAGCCATCTGAGAGGGATGGTTGAACTTGGAGTCCCGCACTGAGCAGGAGGTTGGACCCAATGGGCTTCCGGCCCCTTCCAGCTCTACTATTCTATGATTCCATGATGATAATCGCCTTCCCACTTGTGCGACAGCAGTTACTTGTGGTATCACATCTCTTTGCTCTTCACTGTCATGCATATGCAGACCAGGCCACACATATTTAGGAATAAGGAACAAACAGTAAAAAGTAGGATGCTTGTGCCTCCCCTACTATATGAATCACAGTTCACTATTTGACAAATTTGGAACCACAGTCATGATTTTTCAAAGGTAATACACTAAAGTAATTTTACCTGGTCATACAATTTTTCATCAACTAGGAGATAGGTTTTTGCCCACCGCTTAAGGAACCATACAATATCTTTTCCCATTTGTGGGCTCAGAAGGTGTGTTAGATCTGCTCTTATTGCTCGAGACTCCACTTCCGAAACTCTTAGAACAGAAGACAATAACCTGAGGAAAATTAAACATATTGTGATTTCCCTCCACTGTTTTCCTTTAAAGTTGTCCTGGCATTTTATTGCTCTCTCTTACAAATGCACTCAGGTTTGAAATCTTCCACAGATGGTTAAATATGAACCATATGACCAGCTCCAACTGGCCATTAGTATGTAATCTGGTCTGCTGTTGTTTTTAGTCTGCAATTTTTGTGTGTTTTACCTATTTTTAATCAATTATTGTATGATATTTGTATATTATATATGATATATTATTGCTTTTAACTAAGTTTTATTTATCTAGTTTTAAAATTCCTATGATTGTTAATTGCCTTGAACACATGGAAAAGGCAGGTTACAAGTCCAAAAAATCAATACATTATTTCCAGAAGAAAACAATCCTTGTCTGAAAGAATGCTATCCAAGGGTTCTCTTTGCCTGCTCATGCACTAAATGCTAACATATACTGCCTTTGCTTGCCTCAGGGAGTAGTGTGTGATGAAGCATAATCTTCACCATTTAACCTGGCAACCTCAGATAACAGCAGCAGAAAAAATTATTTCTTCAAGTCAATGGATATGTCTACTGGAATTCTCTCTAAAGTAACTGAGGTTTCTTTTGTGGGAAGGGGCATCGCTCAGTAATAATGCAAAAGGCCTTCAATTCCCAGCATCTCCAGGTAGGTTAGAAAAAAAATGCAGCAAGCTGATGTGGTAGTTATAGTGTAGGTCTGGAGACATGGGAGATCCAGGTTCTAGCCCCCATTTGGCCATAAGACTCACTGGCTAGCTTTCAACCCAACCTAACTCAGAGGGTTATTGTTGTAAGGATAAGATGAAGATGAGGAGGGAGATTGTGTAAGCCACCTTGAGTTCCTTGAAAGGAAAAAGGTGGGATAGAAATATAATAAATATATGAACAAATAAATATGCCCTGGAGAGCAACTGCCAGTCAGTGTTGGCAAGACTAGGCTTAAATGAGCCTAAGGTCTGGCTCAGTATCAAGATAGTGTTTTGCACTCTCATGGTAACTGTATGCCAAGCTGTTATGATCCCTATTTCTTATATTGGTCCAAAGGTGCACGCTACAATTTTTATTCATTATTACACTGGCACAGCATGCAACTGAGAAAATGTAGGGCAGTTCACACAATAATGAGAGAACGAGAGAGAGAAAAGGCCACAGCTCAGTGGTAGAATGCATTCTTCACAATGAGCCAGGTTCAGTCTCCAGCACCTTACAGATTCTGAGGTAGCTAAGTTGGGAGAGACTTTACTCACAGTCTTGGAGACCTTCTGGTAGAGTGCTACACTAATAGTCTGAATTGAGCAAAAGGAAATTCTTTTGTTTCTAGCAGGCCCAGAAGATGTCTCTGCAGTGACCACTATATTATTTGAATGGAAGACTGCATTCCTGGATATGCAATAAACCCATCATATGACCAGAAAGAATTTCCAAATTCAAATGTGCTTACCATATATTATGTGAAGTGGTTCTAAACTATGCTTAAAACCCACTGAAAAAAATGAGACTCAAATACTCAATTGGATATTACTGATCTCAATGGAATTTACTCTCTTCTTTTCTTGGGATTACAGACTTTGTTTCCTGCATCTTATTTTTACAAGGGCCTGGAAAGCCAGCTACATATCTTCCCAATTTTATATTTCAATCATTAGAAAGGGACAGACACTATTTCTGGTCCCACTTTTAAAATGTATGTGGACTTCATGCCCACCTTCTCTTATATTTCCTGGCTCATGGGCAGAACCCAGGGCTTCCCAAAAAACATCTCCACTTCAGCGACATAACACTGCAAACCATATTTACCTTAAGGAAAAGGTTGATTGTAACATGGGAAAAGCTTTATCAAACATGCATGCATTTTTGTCAACTTACAGACCACACACATAGCAACTATTTATACAGAACAGTAGCCTTCATAAAGATCATAACTTTAAAAACATTTTGACTGAAACATGGGATGCTGACAATTGTACAAAATACACTATCACTTCCTCAAGGTGAGATTTTGGAAAACAGGTATTCCTCTTGTAACCAAGAACAACCCTTCAAGTATTTTGCTTAAAAGTCAACTGAACATCACACAATATTTTAGCAGCCAATTTGTGCTCTGAATGCCCTACCAACCTGAAGAATGAAATTCTACAGATCTCTTCATTTTTAAAGACTAAAACATATTTTGTAACTTCATGTTGCCTTATAGAACCTGGACGTATATTTTAACCCCTGCTCAGAATAGCATTTGAGTAGTCCGACTTTGTCTGAGGTCTTTATTCAAATTAAAAAATATACCCATGTCTCCTGCAGATGGAACTTCTATACATGTCCACAACAATTAACTCCATTATCCTTTTATCAGCTATGTACTTCTCTAATTCTGACACTCGGCACTCCAAACCTGAAACATGGGCTCAGATCAAGCTGCTCTTGCACTGAAAACTGATTCTAACATACAATGCAGCAGCTACATTACTTTTCCCCAGAGCTGAGCAACATTTAGTTTTAAGTTTTTCCTTGATCATCAGCTCTAGGTCACTATAGTAATTTGACATAAAACCTATTTAACCATCTTCACCATTTGTGACAGTCACAATGTGATCATGGATTAATAATCTAGGTGTTAACCCTATCTACTTCTGAATTGTTTTCAATATTTGGTATTAAAATACTAAATAAATTACCTAATAACAGAATCGGTTCTGTTGTACCCTGGAATGGAAGAGGCCTTTTCTCCTGGAGATCCAAGAATTTGAAGCGTTGTATTGATGTCAACCTCAGTTGAATGCTTAATGGAATACTCCATTATTTCTGGAGGTATTAGCGGAGTCTCTCCCTGAGTATCATTAGCTAAGAGGTAGCCTTAAAATTAAAAGCAAACAAACAAAAAAAGAAAGTAGTGACCTCAGGTTACCTAACCTAAATTAATTACTGCTTTAAGGGCCATCACAAGAGATGCTGAGAGCACCGGCATCAACAGTTGTCTAAATTCTAGCATATGCTCAAGCTATAACTTGCATTTATGTTATATATTTCAATTTTCTGCACATGCGAACACAGTCTAAAGACTACAATGAAATAAATTCACTCGGGGCAAATACCACAGAATAAATATACATATTACCTTCAAATACTATATCAAATGTAAGCTAGCTTTTTAATAATGTACACTACAACCTTTGCCACATTCCAGTTGACTAGTATCAATGCTAATTTTAAAATCTGATTTAAAAAAACATTTTCACTGTGTCTGCTACACAAGCTAACTTGAAACTTTTCAGACATTTCCATAACACTTACAGCCAAATTAAATATATTTATTTTCCCGTGGGGGCATACTGACATCTAGGAGAAGCAATGAAGGAAGAACTGAGAGAAACTCCTATGATCCTATAAACCTCCAACATATCATGTGGGACCTGGATCATACCAGCCCACAGAACCACCTGACAATTGCAAAGCTATACCTTTTGGGTCATTAAGTCTCACTAGAACTAGAAGGTCCCATGTGTGGATGTCAGGTGGATATGACGTGTTTGCAGCACGGGTGCATCGCTTGCTGGTATGATCCCACTTCCTTCATGGGTATATGAAGCCTATTTGCATTATGCATTCAGCAGAAGCTTTTCTGTCTGATGCAAACTTTTAGTCTTTCACAGAGGATTTAGCAGGCAAATGGCTTATCAATCAAATCTCACCATAAACAAACAGGATATTCAGTTCCATAAAACTCTAATGGAAAGTCTTTATCAAGATGCATGTTGTGTACTGGTCCTGCAGCCTTCCCCAACCTGGTACCATCAAGATGTATTGGACTGTAACTCCTATCATTCCAATGGTGTTGCTGGCTGGGAATAATGGAAGCTGCAGTCAAAACCCATGTTGGGGAAGGCAGCCAGATTACATCATTAAAACAGGATTACTAACTATTCTAGTGTTCATCTGAATCAAATCTGGTGGGAGAGGGAGAGAATGAATACTGGTCTTATATTATGTGAAGTTTTGTGTTGATTACAGGAAAAGCAGTTTTCATTAGGATGAAGCACTTTTCTCTGAAGACTAATAATTAGGTTTTGGGCTTGGCCTTCTGGCTCAAATAACCCTTTATTTCATAGGATAATGAAGTATTGATGGCCTGAGATTATGCAAACTGTCACAGTTCCAGGAATCCTCTTTCTTTCCACCTGGAGTGTTGAAAAAGAAAGGTTCTATCTTTGTGCTGAATTCACATAGACCAATTTTCTATAATTATATTAACATTAACATGTGATAAGATCCAGGGGACCAACAAAGCTTATTTGCTAAGGGAGAATGTGTAGGAAGTGCTGCTGTTGGTGACTATTTCAGCAGCCCTTGACAGCACTTAGGTTTGCCTCGTTTATGCTTCCTTCCTCATTCTGAGCCAGCACAGGCCCCCAGATCCATCACTTCACGAAGCGGCAAGTTGCTATACCTGGGGGGAATGCATCTCCATTTATTGCTGGGGAAGGAGGAGAGTTCCTATGTCCACTAGTGCTAGAGTCATCAGCTATCCCCAGACTGTGTGGAAAAGTCCAGTTTGCCAATTATTTTGCAGTGCTTGATCCCACCACCTCAGAGACTTTGGGACTGAGAGGTGATATTTCCACACAGGGGCAAGTAACCTTCCCAGTCCAGCAATGCAGATTGATGTGTGCACTCTCCAAATATGCATATACACTCAAAGCCCTCATTCAGGAAACAAGAAGTGATTACTGCCCCAACAAAGAATTGCCAAACTCAAATGAAGCTATGTACAATAATAAAATACTTGGACTGTATTTGCAAATAACATGCTACAACTTCTTTCAGCATCCTTAGATATTTGCCACCTTGGGTTTCAGGTGGATAGGATGATTAGCTAGACCCCTTATAATTTCTAAATATGTGGGTTGTCAGGTGAGAGAAATTAAAGGTAGGGACAGGGAGCTGTGAGCATGCTAAACCAATTATAATATACATTTGAAATAACTCAGCTCACTGTTATCAGTCAGGACTATTCTGGGATGGAGTGGGAGACAAAAATCACTTTTCCTATTTGATGAATATTCCAGCCTGACTTAAAAAGTAACAGCAGCTTTACCCCAGTGTAAACTGTTCTTCTGTATCAAGAGAAAATTAGTGCATTGCTTAATGGTATTGTCTTTAACCAAGCCTATCTTTCCATAGATGCAGAGCAGAGTCACTAAAACATTTTGCTATTTTTCCATTGTGCAAGAGCAGCTTCGTATTTCCTACTTTTGGGCTGGGGAAATGCTATTTAAAAAGCCTGCCATGATTCTAGGAATCCTCTTTCTTCTCACTTGAGGGTTTTGAAGGAAAGAGTCCAACTGTGTGTAAACTGGATAAATCCAACTTTCCATAATTAAACAAAGCTAACATTTGATAGGTTCCAATGAGTGACATCAATTGTTCTGCATTCAAACAGTTTCCACTCACCTGTGACTAGAATAAGCCAATGAATATCCTCATACAGGTCATCAAGCACTTTATTGTCAATGGAGCATGAACCAGGTGAGCTAATTAACTGCTGGTGCCTTTGCAACTGGCCATGAAGCCTTGTCACTCTGTCTTCTAATAAACTGAGGGGAAACATGGAGCAAACCTGACAGTTATTACATTTAGATAAGGGGAAAAGGGACTGTAGAGGTGATTACAAAGGACAGTCATTGTTTAGAAATTATTTAGGCTATACCTTGTAAGGAGAGGTATACAGTGTTCGGCAGCAATTCTTCCTAGCATGCCTACACTGGCCAGCTGGTCAGAAAACTGTTCTCTGTCATCCTCTTGAAGTTCACTTATTTCCTCCTCCTCTCTGGAGGCCACACCATTGGCAGTCTGTTGTTAACAAGAAGTTTTTAAAATGTACATTGTGAACTCCAAATGTTTAGTATTTTTTAAGAATGCAAATGCTAACTGCACTGGACTTAACACATGAAAAAATGGCAGGGGGAGAAATATCAATTACTTACAGAAAAGACATTATTTCCTGACTATTGTCCCATAACTCTTATTACTTATGCCTCTTCTCTGTAATATCAAAATATGTATGAAGAGCTCTGCTGGATCCCACTAGCCTAGTTTACTGACCTGCATTCCAGATGCACTGCAGCCAACCAGAAGTCTACTGGAAGCTCAGAAGCAGGAGATCCTCTCGCTCCTGTTCCCTAGTGAGTAGTATTGGAAGAAATACTACCTCCAATGGTACAGGCAGTTCAGTGTTGATATAATCTAGTAGTTGATAGCCACACCCATAAATTTGTCTAATCAATCCCCTTTCAAACCATCCAAGCCAGTGGCCATCATTGTATCTTGTATCAGTAAACACTATAGTTACACAGTAAGTTGCACCAGGCAGGCATGAAAAATGAAGCTTTTCTCACTGTCCACCCCATTTTTGTAGTTGCAGGTTTAGTGTGCTTGCCTTGGACCAGTGAAACTGGGCTGATATTCTAACCAAGCTGTAGAGTTGCTTTGGTTGACTTCTCAGTCCCAATTCTTAAAATGGGGAAAACCTACTTCACAGCATTATGATGATTATGAATTCTCTAAGAATTTTAAGGCATGTAGCACAACAAAAGTACCACTGAAACACCCCCAATCATCAAGAGAGACTTTGCTGCAACCAAGATACAGACATGTAGAGTTGATGGCCAAAACCAGACCATCAGCCATGCATTGTGGTCTGCCCTACTGCCTCTCTGGTGGTCCCAGGGTAGGGGAAAAGATGAACAAACAGGAGGTTTAACTGAGTCCCAGGTAGGTGGACATATACATCTAAGTTATGCAAACCATTTCTGAGAAAAGCAAAATTAATGCCACAGCCATTTTTATATTGTGTGAAAACACCATCAAAATTCTGTGCCTGGATTGCACAGAATAATTTCTAAAAGATATAACAGTAGAGAAAAGGCATGAAATGTAGACCAAGCATGGTCCTACAGAGATGTTGTCTAAAATATGGATTTGCTGAATCTCCAAAAGCTGTAATTCCTGACTTTCAAACATGGGCACTTGTTCTTGGGCCCTCTGGAGACCCCACACCTGTCTGATACCTTTTTTAGCAAGAAAGACTAGAATGTTTTATTATAACTAGGATCCATTGTACTCAGGGGGCCAAACTTTGCTCAGTTGGCAAGTGAGTACTCCACAGTTACAGGTTACGGTCAGCAGTCTCTGGATCTTCTAAGCTAGAGGAAGACCATGAATGAACCACAGATATATACTGCCCTTAAATGTGGCTTCCCTCTGTTTCCTGCTTAGCACAAATCATAGCTTGATTTGACAGGCAAATAAGCAAACTATGGTTAGAAGCTGCCTCCAAGCCAAAATCAAATGCCCACTTCAAACCAGTTTCTGATACACGTTTCCAGGGAAGACTCTAATCATAGTTTGCCAATTCGGACATCATGGTAAAGTATAATTAGTATTAAACAGTGGAAGACATGTAAGAAGGAAAGACTGCCAAGTCCACAGCTTTTTCATAATTCTCTAAAAACAAAATAATTATGCCATGGGATAAGTATAACTTCTCCCTTCTGTGGTTTGGAAATAAACTCCTTGCTTATGACTTATGAGCCACTTGAGAACCATATTAAAATGAAGTCATTAAGGTTTTTCTCGAAGCATTCCCATTTGCCAAGATTCTCATTTAAATGTCTTCGTTTCACTAAAATTCTATGTGTGCAGTCATTCACGTATCTCTGACATACTGTTGTAGCACCTTGGTGCATGCACTGCAAATCATACTTGCCGAAGATACTAAAAGTAGCAAAACAGGGCAGATTGTAGCGCTGTGGGTGATGACAAGGCAGAATCAGCTGATGTCCAACAGAAATGGGCCCAGATTTATCCAAAACGTTCACCCCCAACCTTCCCCACACTCAAGAAAAAATGAAACTCTCCCCCTGCCCTGCCCAAATGGCTGTTTTTCAACTTTTTGGATTCAGTTTCTCTCCCCACAGACACTCCACCTAAATTGCCACAAGCATCAAAATAAGGGCACTTGGAAATTGGATCCAAGCCATTCTTCCTCTCCAAGGGGCTCTTTCAACCTTCTTTCCTTTATGCAAACCGTCAAATAATGCTCTTAACAACTTCAAAGCCTCAGCTGTTTACTGAAGAGTGTTTCTCTATTCAAAAAGTCTAGCTGCTGCTTTGATACTGAACAAGCCAGGCTCCACCATGCCAGCTGTGGCTTTTAAATGATTACCCATGGGATGAATGACTTATCTCACGGAACTTCATGAATTAACCTGTATAAACAAGTTAGGACAAGACTGCCAAGTTATGAACTCAAAGGCCTCATTTATGAAATATTATCTTCTGCTCACACTTATGAGTACTACAAAAGCCTGAGCATTAGATAATACTTTTTCAAATGGAGGCACTTCAGAACATTTATATGGGGTAACCACAGCAAAAAATTTCCTACAGTTATATCGAAACAGCTCTTGGTAGGCATGCCACATCAAGCAATCCACAGGCAAAAGTGATAACCAAACAAAAATTATGGCCTTGTTCTTTGCCTCTTAAAATGCCAGAGAAGCTTACCATCTCTATCTGGACTGACAGCACACTAAAGCTTGGAAAATCAAAACATAAATCCTTGATAATGCTGAAACAGGTTATATGTTAGGCTAGATTTTTTTAAAGCCCACCACAGAACCAGGTTCTTGCTCTTCAGAATTTTGATGAAAGATCAAGGAAAAAAAAGTTTTACATGATCCTAAGATGAAACGATGAGACACAGGCTAGCCTTATCCTACACTGTTTTAATTTTTTGCTTATTCGACACACTACTTTGATCATCCTATTATTGTTATTTCATTTCGTGCTTTTGTTTTTTGCTTTAATTTTCAGGCTCATTTAAATTGGAAATTATTTTATTTTATTTATTTTGCTTTAACCATGGAAGATATTAAAGTAGTCTATAAATATAGTGCTAGATGGAGTTACTGAAGCAGTTGGTGTGAGTTTAGGTGGACCCCAGGGGATGGTGGAGGACAGGAGAGCATGGAGGAATGTTGTCTGTGGGGTCATGATGGGTCGGGCATAACTTCACAACTGATATAACATAAATAAAGTAAAAAAAAAAATGTATTTTCTTCTACTGTTTACCTTCAGGAGGGGATGAAAATGGAGAAGGAAACATTGGTGATAAGAGCAGAATTAAAAGTTCAGCTAACAACTCTGATGGTCCTCAAAGTTCTGAGAAGTAATGCCAGCCTATTTCTCACCCCTTCAGCTGTGAATCCTCCTCCTATTCAAACCCAGTGACAGGATTTTTTTTTTTTTTTGGTACAAATGCCTAATCAAAAAGAATGTTGTTTCAGACACTAAAGTCCATGCCTGCCATAGTTTGTTTCAAACTAACCATAGGTAACATTAACCAGTTTGTCAGTTCAGAGAACACAACAGCGTGGTGGAAAAAAGTGAAAACCTCCACTGTCCCTTGTGCCCACACTGAAGTAGAGAGGACTGTGAAAGCCCAAGGTTCACTGTGGTCTATTCCTATTGTGCTACATGAGGACCAGTCTTTATTTGAATATTTATTTTAAAAGTTTGGAACTGAAATGTTTAAAACACATTACATTCCAAGATGACATCAAGAACTTACCAAATTCCTTGTACCATCAGGTGCAGCTAAGTGGCACTGGATGTATGAATTAAAAACCTGAACAGCATGTTGGGTAAAGAAGCCTTTATGGAAATGTTTATCATCTTGCACCAAAGTAAGCCAGGATTCCAGAAGCTTATCATACGCCTCCATGTATACCATGTCATCTTTGTCCAGCTAAGAAAATAAATTAGTAAGACATGTTATCATGCAGTTATTCAGACTTTCAAGTAGTATAGTTATTTATACTATAAAAGTAAGTATAGAATATTAACACTCTTTTGCAAACTTCAAATCATTAGTGCACACAAAGACTCATTTATTCTGAAGTGTTCATAGTTGGCATTTCATGGCGACATACCTTTTTAGATAAGCTGATTTTAAGAACTTGTTGTGTAACTGATTTATGCTATTCTCTCCTACTACCACTACCATGACATTATAGAAGGTCCCCTACGCTCAAAACCTGCTCTTTGAAGACTTAGGAGGTTGCAGCAGGATCGTGGTGACAAAAACCAAAGTTAAAAACAGTTCTGAGAACAGAATTCTCCTGGCAATCCTTAGGAACCAACCCATTTACACGAGAACAGAATGGACTGATATATTATATGAATATGACAGAACTTTGGCAAATTCTTAATGTAGCAGTCTTAAAATCACACATATACAACTTTTTCTGAAAAAAGTATTAACCATCTGTAAATAAGGAATTAATTGAACACAAATAGTATATTCCACAGTAATAAACGTAATTGCTTTATGCAAACTAAGGAGGATTCAAAATTCAATGAAGTGTTTAGCTCCAAGACCAAAAGTAAGGATCTAACACTAGCACATGGATAATTTCTCAAAAATTTATCTTGTGATAAAAATCTAATTCTAGTTTCTTCAGTGATGTGTACAAAATTAGTCAGATATCATCAGATATTTGCGTTGCATTGAACTGCAATTGGAAGAGCGTATAACCCTTTTCACATGCTGTAAAAACTGGGTATAATTAACATGCACAACTCACACACAAGCATTCCAATTGGACCTCCCAGTTCATGTAGGATCAGTAACTCATAAGCTGTATTCTGCAAAATGGGTTTGTCTGCAGTCCAGCTGCACATGGTTTCTATCAGCCTACTCTAACCTTGAACTCTCCAGTTGTTTAGCACTATAAGTCCCAGCATTCCTGACCATTGTCCAAACTGGCTGAGGTGAAAAACAAAACATCAGGAAGGCATAAGGTTGGGTATGGCTAGTTTAGACCAAGTTTTGCTGATATAGAAATAGAGTTTTGCAGATAATCTAGAAAATGATTTTAAGTCAAACTCCATAGCCTTTAAAGTCTGCTCCAGATAAAATGTTTTTTTCTATTGTAATTGTAAAGATTCTCAGAAAAATTAAATAGCTCTTCCCATAAATTAAATCAAATTGCCAGGTAAAACAACTATCTATATGCCTTCCCAAAAAACATAGCACACAGGGATCTTCCAGAGGTGGAATTACTCCAGATGCTTTTGATACTAGACATCGAACACTTACAAACCGTAATCCTGCGCAAAATTAACTGGGAGTAAGGGCCATTGAACTAAACTGGGATTACTTCTGAGTAGACATGTTTGACTGCAGCCACACAACTTGGCTCAGTAGCCAGACATTACTGATATCTACCACTAACCTACAGTAAGGTACCTATAGCAGAATGGCTTGTGGCGCACTAGGCTTTGGAGCAGGCATGGTCTGTGCAAATTTTGTGGGCAGCTTTTGCTTGCTTCAAAGCTCAGCACAGCAGAACTGCTTCCCAACCCTTCTGCAAATGGGAGAGGAGAGGGGAAGATCTATTGTGCTGAGTTATGGAGAAAGCACATCTGTTTGGTTAGTTAGAAGCAAAAAACTTACTCTGAATTCTCTGCTAGGTGTAAGAATGTAGGGACAGAACTGCCTGCTACACAGGATACAGACTGGCAAGAAGGCCAAGGATATTTGCTACAGGGAAGCAGCTTTATGGTAGTCTGTTAAAGATTATCAGGAAAGAGGAAACTTGTTTTTAAAAGCCTCACTCCTTTCTGTACTCCACACAGAGATCCATCATTTCATCCAACTGGAATCATAGAGTCACAGAATAGTAGAGCTGGAAGGGGCCGAAAGGGCCATCAGGTCCCCCCCCCCCCCCCAGTGTGGAAGAGTTTTTTTGTAAACAGAAAATAATGAAAAGAAATGCTCAACATTCTAAGACAGAAATTACAATGGGGAAAGGACCATAGCTCAGTGGTAGAATGCATAGCTTGCACTTGGAAGGTCCCGGATTCAGTATCTTGCATCTCCAGGCAGAGCTGGAAAAGCTGTCCAAAAATCCTGGAAAGCCTCTGCCAAAAAAAAAATTGACAATAAAAGGCTAGGTGGAGCAATGATCTGACTAGTGAATGGATTATCACAGCACAACAACTCACTGTGGATTACTACATACAAAAGGTTATCGTGCTATGTGAACTCAGATCAATTTCCACAGGGTGGCTTGCTTGAGGGGGACAAGCCACCTTGACAGCCTATGGATGGTCATATGGGGATGTATATAACAACAAGTTGTCATATCATGAGTACTAGGGACTTGTTACCAAGACATTTGGGAAGAAATCCTTGTCGCTCCTGACAAATGGAAAGTGTCAGATAAATCTTCCTCTATCTGTTCTTCCTAGTCTGCACTTTGCCATTGAAAACGTTCTGAAAGAAGCTAGTTTGTTCAATAACCCTGATACATCCTTCTCTGGCCATCCCATTAGAACACACTTTTAAAGACTCTTTGAGCACAAGGACATGCTGTACCAGTATGAACCTGTGAGGTATTGAGAACTCTCTGTGCAGAATCCTCTGCAGGAAATCCAATACCCATCTGGTGTTTGATATATAGCCATCTGTGCCAAAATATTATACCCACAACCAGGAAGACTAAATGCCACCATGATGCAATGTCCAAAATTATGCAAAAGTAAATGATTTATTCTACTAGTTGGAGTTAGGGCTGTGTCCTGTGATTAAAAAATAGCTTTCAGGGCTCATGGGAAAGGATGAAAGTGGTGGAGTCTGTATTAATCTAATGTTGTTGCTAAGTGCCGTCAAGTCATCTCTGACTTACAACAACCCTATGAATGAAAGCCCTCCAAAATGTCCTGTCCATGATGGCCCTACAAAAACAAAAGACTTTAAATATGTATTCAAGGAAGTTTTATTGTAAGTCCACAAATGAAAAATAATAAAGGAGAAAGAAAGGGTAGGACTACTGATCTAGAAAGCCCAAGAACCAGAACAGGCACCTACATGGAAGGATAGTAAACCAATCTGTGCACAGAGTTCCTTTAGTCTAGACTTCTGCAACCTGATGCCTGCCCTCCAAGTACTTACGTCCATTGGCCATAGTGGCTGGAGCAAATGGAAACCAAAGCATAAAATATCTGGAGGATACCATGATGCAAATATTGTTTTTAGGTTATCAGTCTAAGGCAGCTAACAAAAATGCACATAAGGTGCTTATACTGTCCAGTTATGTAGCAACTATGCTTGCCTTGATCTGTTCAACTGCACAGTCTAATGCTTTTAAGCAACACTGTGCCCCTAAACAAATATTCACTTGACAATAATTATTTTTAGTAAGCTAGATATCTTGAATCTACAACTACAATCTAGCTTCTGTTCTGAAGCCAACTCTGAAGGTCCCTTTTGGGTAAAATTACAGGAACTAGACAGATTACACAGCTGCTACTCCATTAAAATATTAAGAAGTAGCAGAAGTGGTGGGGTGGTAAACAATGTGAAGTGTAAAGTTGTACAATGAAAACAACAAGTAGGAATGATGGATAAAATACTCTGGACCTGCGTAAGAAGAAAGCAGGAGTAGAGAAATACAGAGTGTGGTTGACAGAGCATCAGGAAAGGTTGCTCCCCATCAACTGGAGTCCACAACACAGAAGTCCTGAAGACTAGGATTAAACACTGCTCCTATAAGCCATTAGTTTCTATACTTAAAACACAGTCATTGCTTAAGCAGTGCAGGGAAGAAAACTACTTCTGAGATAAAACTATTCAATGCTGATGAATTGGATAATGTCCATATTTTTTCCTATACATACACTAAAAAGGATACTTTAACAGGAACTAAAATTGGTTAAGAACTATACCAGGAAAAAGCAGCATGATTCATTCACCCTGAGATTCCAATTATCCCATGTTAGAAATACTAAAATATCCCAGTTACAATGCCATGCAAAATTCAAAAAACTGTTTCATCAAGATAGTGAACAAAACACAATTTAAATATGTGAATTCACTGCAGAACTGTCACGTTTTCAATCAGTACTTAACCCTAACACTGTCTCAAGTTTCAGTAGCTGCCCTCACACTAAGTACACTTACACATAAAACACATAAGTATGTAGGTACAATTCCTTTAAGTCACAACAAATCCATTCAGTATTGGAAGGAAAATGGCACAGGAAAGAAATTACATAAACTGAAAATGTTTAAAATGCTAAAAATTAAAGCCTGAAATTCATCAACACTAAGCATGCCTTGTGAAATTCCAAGTTGGTACTTACCACTTCTTCCAAGGCAGCACTTCTTCCAAAAGAGCAAGTGAGGTGCGTGAGGCAGTTAACAAATGAAGAAAAAAGTTCATTTGGAATGGCTGTTAATATATTGCGAGGAAATACAGTGATCAAGTTGCTGATTATACTGGATATCCCCACTGCTTCTGAGTCCTCTATTTCAATTCTATACATTAAACAAAAATTGAAAAAGAGACAGAAGGAAAAACAGTCAATAGTTCTACTGGTTTATTTGAATCAAGACCATTGTGGTATCTTCAGAAAGCAGCTCTATGCCACTGTTCAAGTTACAAACACCAAGAAACAAGTCCCTCCCTCCCACTACAAGCCCAAATTCTCAGAAGCAAGCATATTACATACCCATTGATAGTGTTGAGCAATCCCTCAATGAAGTGGGCTAAGTAATCGACTTGAGAACTTTCATCTGGAAACACTGGCCCATGGAGAGAAGCTAGCTGGGCTAGGCACTGTAGTGAGTCTTGTGCCATATCTGTGTCTTCTCTAATTTTTCGATGCACCTTTTTGGAAGTGAGAGGGTTAACATCACATCAGGGGGTGGGAGAAGGAAATAAGACGTCCTTTTACCATACGTACATGGCTTACAATCCTAAAGCACTCACACACACATGCATATGGAGCTTTCTCTAGTTTCTGTTAAATTTGAAATCAACTGTCTATTATTTTTAGACATTTCAATCTTTCAATCTGCCCTCTCAATATATCAACTTCATAACCCATATTTTATTTGTCAAAGGACAGCATTTCACTGGGACCTACCTACATGTTGAACTGTCTATGCATGTTGAGTCTTACAGAGAAACAGATGCCAGCCGCTCAGACATGCTGCTACTTCTAAAAACAGCAATAATGACAGCCATCTATATTATGCTAACTATGCCTGGGCTACAGCGTCTTGCTAAAGTTAGTCGACAAGTTCAATCAAGATTATATAGATGCTTCTTTAGCAGAGGTAAACACAGAACCCTCAAGAAACCAAATTCATTTCACTTGTGGCAAAACCCTTCTATTCCTTTACAGACCTCTAATCTACTTATTTCTCCATGTATGACTGCTCCCTTCTTCAGATGTCCATCAGAAGCTAATTTCTTCAGATGGACATCAGTGACAGCAAAGCAAATATTCATTTGTCAACTGAGTATGTGAGAAACTATACATATTAACAGAATTAGTTTAAAGTAAAAAGCAAAAGCAGAACATGGGGAACTAACTATCAAGATGCACTGATTTTATGATTCTGTACATATAGAACAGTGCTATATTTAGAGCATAATTAAGCAAATGCTATGTTTTGAACATTCAGCTACACAGTAAATGAAAAATAGTAGTATATAGAACAATTTATGGGCATTAATTAAACAATTTTATTTTTTCCTTATTTTTATTGCTGTATTTTATAGCCACTCCATACTAAATTATCTGGGCAGCTCATAAAATTGGATTCACTAAAGCCATTTATTTTCTCACTATTTAATTAAAGCTTGTTATGCCTAAACTGAGTCACAAGCATTGCAAATAAATTCTGCAAACTGGGGATTTATAAGTACAGCTAAGTTTTTGCTGCTTTGGAGACTCAGCTAAGAAGTTACTGATAAAATGTTATACATATTCGTCACAATTTCATCAGTATGGATTTGATATCTTGCGGATATCTAAGTGTGTCTGGTGAAAAAAGTGCTAACATCTGAAGAAATGTTCTCTTGTAAACAAATGAATGCTTTCTACCCAGACACTTTTTAACAGAAAATTACATTAGAAAGGGTTAACCTGTGGACTCAGAAGTTATTTGCTTCAGGAGGTTCCCAGCTGACAGTAGCAACTGTCTGGGTTGTCTAGACAGCTGTTCAGATTGTGTGCAGCTGTTAAGTGGTCTGCCAGCAAGTTTTTCACCTTTCTGAAAATGCTTGAGATAAAAAAACTTACAAGTAACTATGTACACACAACAGCAAAAGTTGAGGAGAGAATTAAAAAGCTATACAAGTTTTCCTATATGCTGTTGATCAGCTAGACAAAGTTTTAAATACACTTCTTGGTTTTGAAAGCAATACCCTCAAATTCCTGCAATACAGAATTTCTATTTTGGGAGATAAATCCAAATTGGTTTCTTCCTAAATTTTCCAGGCCAGTAATCCAATACCAAATGCACAATCCTTTTCTCCATGAACTTTCATGGATTTGGGGCATTTAACTAACATAAAATAGCAATCCTATGCCAACTAGTATGAGCAAAATAAAGTCTACTGAATAAGCAGGGTCTGGATGCAAATTTCCTTAAGAAAGTTCAGCTAAAGAAAGGAAAGGCTGATGTGACGCCACACCTTCTTACAGAGAAGAGCTAAAAGACATATGTACACTTTTTCATAGGTGGTAAACATCTAATGCAAGACAGATGTGTATAAACACGAATTTCCTAAATGGAAACATTATCCATGTAGGAAGCAGCTTTCAGATGCCTTTAGCTTTGTTATGCTGCATAAATAAGCTGCCTTGCTGGAGAGCAGGCAAAGATAAGTAATTTTAACTGAACATCAACAGTGAAAAGTTCAGCAAAGTTAGTACATGCCCAACATTACCCTGTTTGGTTTGAACTGCATCCACTATTAAATACTATTACATATTTAAATTCATAGGAAGTTGTTATTCTCCTTTCTTTAATGAAAAAAAAATTCTTAAAAGGAACCGTGTTGATCCAGAATGCAGAAATACTTGTGATGGAGATTTCAATGACTCTTGTCCCACAAGCTGAGCTTTCATCTCAATAGGTACAGTTTATAATGCAAACTCTAAAAATATCTTTGGCAAATGTCATTTATGCATCTCTCACCTGAATTTGTCCTACTTCATCCAAGGATGAGGGAAGAAAATCCAACCACAACGTTAGAAAAAGGTTATTGCAGCAGCAGCAGTGGCAGCTCTGTTGCTACTAAACTTGTAAAGCAGGAGAATGGGACTTACTGTAAAGAAAAGCTCCATGACTCTGCTGTCCAGGAGGGTCTCGCGCCAGGACTCTGTTGGCTTTAGCATCACATTTTGTGAGGATTCAAACATAGCTATATAATGTCTGCCTAGTTATCTGGTGTCAAGGTCAACAACAACATTCCAATTTGACTTCTTTTTTTAAAAAAAAATCCCAGATACAACAGGTCTCATTCAGAAGAGAATGCAATGGAAACAAACTTTAAGCCGCTTCACATACACAGCATAATTCATGCATGAGGGCAAGGAATAAAAGGTATTAAGTACTGAAAAAAAGAATGCTCTCGGAATGCCAGATAACAGTTTGATCACAATGACTAGACATACCATAGTGGCACAATCACTTTAATAATCATCCCATGAGACAGGAGGAAAAAAGAAATGAAAAATGATACTCTGTGCAACAGGTATGCAACCTGTATAAAATATGCTTTTTTATTTTTTAAACACTTTAAAGTGTTCCTGGCTAAATTTATAGATGGCTGTATGGTACTTTCAGACAAGTCCTTTGAAAACTATGGCTCTTAATATACACAATATTCTAATATATTTCACAAAGTAGGATATTTCCAGAGTATGATGAATTAACACATGTTTCAAAATTTAGAGTTTCATAATCCAATCATATGCATATTTATTCAGAAGTAAGTTCTAATGACTGCATGGGGTTTACTTTCAAGTAAATGTGCATAACTTTGCACCTTTATAATATGAAACAAAAGACATCATTATGTTCTTGTGGGGTGAAACATCCCAGAATAGGAGCCAGTCCTCTAAAATGAAAAGGAACCATTATTAAATATAGGAAGTTAGTGAGAAAATCCAAATATGATGCCTATATTTCTGCAAGGGAAATGCACAAACTTTAACATATTTAATACTAGCCCAAACTTATTTCTTCTTGAAAAAGGAAGGGGGGAAGGAAGGGGGGAAGGGGGAGGGGGCATCATTGGGGGGTCTTCAAAGATAAAAATACTTGGCTAATTTCAAACCCACAGTAGTAAACCACATTGTACTCCACATAAAACCCTTTCAGAAATGGCATAGAGGGAGTCTTAGCACTGCCATACAAAGTAACAAAGTCAGTGATGTTAGAATAAAATTAATGTTAGCATGATTTGACTTTCAGTAATACAGCTGAGAAAGAAGGCAGGCTTTAATGTTCTCCATCAGGGCATCCATGCAGGGCGTCTATTTGCAACGACAGTTTATTGCTCAGAAGCTGCCCCCATAAGTACCCTGTAGAGCAGAATTCTACCTAAACATTAGTCTAAGTACTGAACATAACACAACAGAACACCTTAGAAATTTGCAATATTTAAAGTAGTGCAATAAACATTGTGGCAGAGGGAGGTAATTACACTTTGCTTAGAGTGACAGCCAAAGTTGCAGCTGTTCACTTTGGCTAAAAAATTAAGTTTGTTAGTTACTCTGTTTCAAAATATAGTCTAGCATTTGTGGAGTGGTAAGGCTTGTTCATCCTTTTCAATTAATAACTATTTCCTTGTACAGAAAAAGGCATCAGTTGTTAAGACAGATATAGATACCAGTTAAAGAATAAAGTCAGGGACACCATTTTCTCTACTTTTGTTCTCTTTTTCTTAGTTAATTTTAAATGCTTTTTAATCTTACATGCATAAACAGAAGAAGTATACAGAATGAATCCAGTGCAGACACAATGTTGTTGAATTCTTAACTATTACTCTGAATTTGGAAGTGGACAAGTGGACTCACATTCTCCCTCTAACTTCCATGCGAACATTTCCATTCTACTTATCAGCTTTAATCATGGTTGACACTACATCCACACTAACACTGAACATGGTTAACATTAATTAGAACCCTTCTTAACCAGCATTTTCAAACCATTTTTAAAGGTTAGATGGAAGCTGGCCACAAATGGAACAACTCATGATAAAACCCAAAAAGTGAGAGGGGAATTCTGAATGAAGAGGAGAGGGACTACATGGGTATGAGCTAAGGGTCTACTCCACCAGTGTTAATCACAGCCCCTGTTGAGCCACCCCTCTCTGGTTAAGTCCTCCCAAGTATGCAGAAACCTCTACCCTATTTTACAAAGGCCCCATTTTCCTTCCAAACTGGAAGGAACTGCTGAAACGCATATGGTATTAGAACCTGAAATCACATGTTGCACTAAGGACTTCTCCTACTCAGGGTGGAAACCTTTTTCATTCAATTCCTGTCCCCACTTTTTTCTGCCGCCCCCACCCCCACCTCACTGCATGTTCCACTGCCACTGGAACGTTGAACTGCAATGTTTCATTTGTACTTCTGTAAACCTTGGGGTTTTCCTAAACCTACGGATACCATTCTCTTGTGCATAGGTGAGGCTGTTTTGCGGCTGCTCAGGGAATGAATTTGTTGCTGGGATATAGGATAATGATACCCATTAGTATTTACCTAAGCAAATGGTTTCTATGGCAACATGGAGAATTCGCATTACCATGTTTATAAAACCCTAAGACTGTTAGTACATCATGGCTTGTATTTTTATGAAGAGGAGACAGTAGTCCTTCTATAGGTTGGCATTGTTCCCCCTGGGGACAGAGAACAAGCAAAGTATGTGGCTGCAGTTAAGTTCTGGAGCTGTCTGCCCAAGAAGGCTCATTTCACTTTTGTTACCTTTTCCAGTGTGCTAGAACTTTTAAGGTTCTAAAAGCCTTATGCTGTGCTTTCAATGCAAGATGTATTGCTGCATTTTAGTATTGATATTGTTTTACCTGCAATTGTTGCTTCCTCTTTCACTGACTTATTGCTATTTCTTCTTTTTCTAGTTGTGCTATTATACTGATTTTTTTTTCTTTTAAATCTTCTTGTAAGTCATATTGGGGAATTTTATGACTGGAAACACAGGAAATAAGCCATCAAATAAATCTTCACAGGCAGATGCATAAATATTATTGCTAGACCACAGATACTGAGGAATAAACACTACTTCTCTTTCTTTTAGATCAAGCAATCCAATTCTAGCTGATAACTAGCTTTTGTTTCAATGTGATGGTGCTCCTGCAGATTCTTACTAAAAAAATTACAATATATTTGCATTGAAGAACTCTGCTAAAAATGCAGCATGTGGCCCTTTGGCAATGAATTCCAAATATAAATTCTTATGCTTACACTTTCCCCAAGATTCTTTATCAAGATGAAGCATTAACTCGAAATAATTGTTCCTAAAAAGGATATAATTTGGAGGAAGAAAATTCCAGCTTAAGACCTGATTGGCTAGTGCAAGGTAACGTTGAAAGACAGAAGACATTTGAGCATTAAGGTTTTCTCGCCGGCTGAATTCCTGTAGTACCTCTATTGTAAGCATGAAGATCTGGCGGAGGTCATCCTCCTGTGCAGAACACGAACAAACATTTTAATGTTTCATCAAGACATAATGTGCTTATCAGACCAAAATGAAAAAAATACTTTTTGCTGTATATATTCCATGCAATCTGAACATATTGGTCAGAGCACTGTTCCACCTACCTAAGTAATGCCTACTGCTTGCCAGTAAAACTCCATGGCCTGAGTCAGTGGCCTGAAATATCACCTAACTGGCAATGGTAAGGGTTGCCTGGGCCCTTTCACATGCAAACTGTGCACTCACTATTGCTGAGCTGTGGCCCAACTTGTCAACAAGCATCTTTTTTCAAATGACAAATACAGGGCAATAGACTAAACACATAGCTATTTTATATATTAATTATATTTATGTCCCATCTTTTCTTGCAAGGAGTTCAAAGCAGCTTACACAATCCTGTCTCTTCATTTTATCCTCACAACAATATGGGTGTGGTGGTAGGGTTCATGGAGTATCACAGAGGCAGATCTTACCAACTAGCTATACTCCTTCCTATTGTCTATGTACAGATTATCTTTATTTTGATGTATGTCTAAGTTAAACTGGTCTCTCCTTATCCACACCTCTTTTAGAAATATAGAAATACTTACCTGAAATATTCGTTTGCAGTTACCGTGGAATTCCATGCTTAGTCCAATATTACTGGTTTTATTTGAACTTGAGAATTCACTCAGCAATGCCGTTAAAATGGAACAAGCCAGTGTTTGCTGTAAGGATTTTGGGAGGAAAAACACTAAACTGAGTTATTTGGTGTAGTAACACTGGATTATATATCAGCTGTTTGACCCAATTTAGGAAAATAAAAAACACAATTTCCAAAATGTCTACCATTCTGATCTGAAGCAGCAAGAGCAACTGCACCCCAAATTCCTTTGAGAGATTGTCTTTAAGAGTGCATTCCATCCATTTACCATGACGGTTGCTGCTACAGAACAGTTATAAAAGTTTAGAAACCTTAGATTTCAAAGTCTGATGTTTTTTAGAACATTGCATCTAAACTCTAAATTTTGAACTTTATGTTTCATTCCAATATCTCTCCATTCCTCTTTGAATACATCACATAATAACTGGGACTGAACAACATGTGATGAGTTCTTGTGTCATGCAAACTCGGACCAATTCCCAGAGGGTGGCCTATTAGAAAGCATTGGTGGAATGGCTGTCACTGGGGACAGCACAAAGCTCTGGAAAAAGAAACCCGTGAAAGAAACTAGATCACAATCAGAGCATGGAGGGGAAGACAAGATGGGTTCACACAGAATCCCAGGGCACCAGCTGAAGGAGGGAACCAACAACCCACACTAAGCCCCACCATCTGTCAGGCAGACAACCCATACTGCAGAGTTCATTCACAGCATGTCCATGTCATGTGAACTTGTCTAATAAATGGTTAAGAGTCTGAGAACAGGCTATGAGCCTGTACACTTTCTTCCCCTTGCTCGCAAATGCCACCACCACTACTCCCCAACACACAGACATCACGGTTAGTTATGATGCTTGTACTTATTTAAAAGAAATCACACTTTATACTGAAAGCTGCTATCATCATAAATTGAATAGGAAAAGGAAGAAAAATGTATAACTTAAACAGAGAGTGGACATTTCAGCCAAAATAAAAGACTTACACACACAGCTTTAGAAAAACTTGAATAAAAAAAGCTTTATCTGGTGTGCGCACATGCACACACACAACCAGCCCCCTGCCAAATTGTGCCAGGTGACCTCATTGGGGCAGGGAGAGTAGTACTAGAACTGGGGCACCACTACATACACACCTAGATGATTTAATATACAAGCAGGCAGGCTCTTGTGAAGAGGTATTTGGGTCCCATAATCTAGGGCTTTAAAAGGTGGTCTGACCTGGAGTCAAAAATAGACTTGAAGCCAGTGCAGATGTTTTTGAACTGGCAAAGTTTGTTCCAAACACCCAGTTCCAGTGAGCAATCAGGATGTTGCATTCTGTGCTACCTGCAGTAACCAAACCACCATTAAAAGCTGCCCCATCTACAGAACCATTGCCAAGTCACCCATGGTCAAGGAAGGAAGTGACATACCAGTTGGGTTCAGGTAACACAATAGCCTACAAAGGCTGAATACAGGTTGTGTGTGTGAGTAGTTGTTGAAACACGGATTATCCTTTGCTTGCTAAACAAATCAAGGTTCACTAGAAAGGTCCACTACAAAGACCTCACAGGTCACAACCTAATAATTGTTGTTCACAGTATGGAAATGAATCAATCAACCAACAAATAAATACTGATGATAACACAACATGGATGCTCTTCATGGGTTTTTCATAGTTAATGAACTATCATTTTCAGACAACAGGATAAACGACATTGCAACAAACACCCATGGTTTAGAAACAACCTACCCTGAACTCTTGACTGTGTGTTATTGTATTGTCTGAACTCAGCAACCTACTTTCAAAGGTAACAAGTGTATTGTGCCATTCAAGGATAATTGTGCCTGTTGTAGAGGAGCAGCTTGATATCTTGAAATGCCATGTTGGCTGGGGATGATGTGGGCTGCAGTCCAACACACCTGGAGGGCACTAAGTTGGGAAAGGCTGGCCTAGCAATTTGGCTGGAACTTAAGCCATACTAAATGGAAACTTCAAGGGCTCTCAGAAATCCATCTGGATTTATTAGTTGGGTCTTCCCTAAAGTAGATGGCAATTCTCAGCATTTCTGACCATTGGCTATATTGGGTGGGGCTGACAGGAGCTGAAGCCCAAAACATCTGCAGGACATCAGGCTGTGTTAATTCTTGGGCGGGGGGGGGGGGCAGGCCATTGTAATTGGCTCCATATTCATATAGAGGGAACAAATCATAGTCATTTTAAACCCCAAGGCATATACCTTAACCACAGTTAAAGTCAATCAATTTCTTTCTTCTTTTGATCACTTAAATCATGTAACATTGTGCAGACCATTCTGAATCTATACCAGCTGATTCTTTTCTTTGGGCATGAATCTGATCAGTTAATTATTTTCCACTTGCTACAGGATGGAGTACCAGTTGTGTTTTCTACTTTTCCAAAGCTTAATCTGCTTCATGACATAATTCACTGCAGAAAGAATGTATTAAAATGATTTGGAATTCCACAATCTTCCTTTATCTCCAAGACAGTGCAAAATTGTACTAGCATTTACCTCAAGATGAATACTGGCAAAAGAGACCAGTTTTACTAGAATGGTACAGTTGGTTGGAAATCAATAGTAGACTTTTAATAACCTCAGAAAGATGTCTATTATTATAAGAAAAGAAGCCTAGAAATTAGAACTCCTTAATATATTTTATTCCTAAAGCAAAGGACTAACTATAGATACAAGTTACATGGGACATTTCAACTATCTCCATAGCTGGATTCATCTGAAAGGATTACAGACTAACAGGTCTTAGCCTAATCCTGTGTGCTCCTAAATGAAGTTTTAAAACTTGCACATTCATATCAGTAGTAAGAGGAACAGTCTGAAGGCATCTGCAGTAATTTTATCTTAGTGGTTAAGGAGGTCTTCGCTGTGCCAGCATGTGGAAGGGAGAATGCCACTGATCTCCTTCAAGGAAAGGATGGATAACAGATCTGTGGCTGTGAACTTGGTTGGCATCAGAATGCAAAGAGTTCAGTAAGAGTGCAATCCTATGTAGGTGCAGACAGAAAACACCCCACACCTCCCACCACTGCCTGACCAACATACTAAAAGCAGTGCTGGGAGGTGGACCTTTTCTGCCTTTATGTGCAAAGGATTGCACCCATAACCACCTCAAAATGTCATGTGCATACAGTACCTAAGCCTTCTTGCATGTTTACATGGCATGTTCCTGTTGTTTCAAATCGGTTAAGCTGTATGCTTAAAGCAAGTTTACAAGAACCAAAAGGGTAAATAGTATCATGACATATAGTTCTACTAGGAACATCCATAGTTACATAAAAAGTACCATGTTTCATCCTTCTCACAATAGATAGATGCACAATAGATGCGCACGACTACTGGCTTTACTCCTAGACTATTTGGAGCCAAGGTGCCAAGGATGGACAGAGGAACAAAGATTGTTAAAGGGTCATGCATGCCGGCAAGTGTCCAGGGGTTAAACGGAAATATGCACACTACCTCTGAACACCCGAAAGATTAAAGTCGTGATGATACTATTTATGCGAGGTCACACAACAGCTGACAGTAGTGCCATCCACCCACCAACTGCAACATCTTTGTTCAGAAATGCCTCTGATGTCAGTACCTTGACCCCACAGACAGCTAGTTATCTCAGCTAGTATACACAAAATTAACATTCTTCCTTGCTATATAAATCCCAGACAGACCAGGCAAAAAAAGAAAGAGACTTTTATGTGAAATATGCATTTAAGCAGCCAATTGCAGTACTAAGCTTGAGCTCCATATCCACAACAAATACTTTGTGCTTGATTTTCTAGAAGTGCCCTCCTTAGTGACTGCTGCCATAATGTATGTAGATTATGGCTCTTATCCTAACACTTAATCATGGAATTTGCAGCATTCTGAGTTGTGGCTTGTCTCTGATGGTATACTACAAACATTAAAATAAATACTAAATTTTAATTGCTAGGTAGCAGGTCTATCAATGTGTACAAATATGTTCATTTTATTTTATTTGGTTGCTATTTTGGAGGTGTGCAGAAAGATGAAAAGTCTTCTCTGCTTACTGCATGGGGCCTGCTGTCAGTATGCACCAGGTATTAGTCCTGAATACTGACCAAACAATGCTGAAAATTATTTTTATATGATGCTTTTCATGGGACAGCTGTCAAATGGTGAGCTGGTCACTGGTCTAGTAGAAAGGAAAACTGTGAAAACAACTTTGCACGCGAAAGGGTGCTGCAAGTATGTATTAGTGTATCATTCGCTCAGCAGAGAGATCCTCCAGTTTTTAAGCATGGCCCTGATAAATCTCAGTATCCTCTTCCTTTTTCACCCTTTCCTGGGATTCTATGGAAAAAGTGCATCCCACACCATTTAGAGGATCAGAGAGTTTTGATAGCTGTCAAAATAAGGTTTTCTTTCAAAATGGGGTTTTTCACAGGATTTTTAGTTTTTGTTTTTAACAGGGGAATATACAAATTCAATAGCTGCATATTGAAATAGGTGTCAAACTAGTGATGACTTCTCTGAAGCACTGCTCGCACACTTCAGAGGGGCTGTCAGTGGTTGTCACTGGCAGAGATCATGAAAATCTGCAAAAAGAAAAAATGCTGCAACAATGACCAAAAGGGGGGAATGAGCAGAGCAGTGAGACCAAGCCATTGGTCATCATTCCAAACTGACTGAAATATTTTTAAAAAGTCAGGAACTAGAGGTAGAACATCAATTTCATGCCATGGAAGAGTGTAGTTCATACAATCTGGTAAGTGAGATTGTCTCACTCACCAGACGTTTCATTAGTTCTACTATGTACAAGCTACAAACAATAACCCCATCTGACAAAGTAAAATGCTTCTCTTGTTTGGAGAATGGATTGTCTCTTAGAATAGCCTGGCACTTACCCCAGTTGAGCTTTACTACCAGGAATATACTTTATAAAAGTTTGCCATGCTTAAAAGAGACTTTCAGCTGCTCTAAGAGAAGATCAATGAGAACGTGCAAAGAGAGATTAACTGGGCAATCAGACACCAATGCAAGCAAAGTAGTCCCAGACAATTATTGTTCTCTCAAGGAAAAAAAACGAACTC